GCGTTATCTTCAGCGTTATCTTCAGCCTCGTCTGCTGGGATATCGGCGTTGTCTTCAGCGTCATCTGCTGGGATATCGGCGTTGTCTTCAGTCTCGTCTGCTGGGACATCAGCGTTATCTTCAGCGTTATCTTCAGCCTCGTCTGCTGGGATATCGGCGTTGTCTTTAGCGTCATCTGCTGGGACACAGTCTTTAGTAGGAACCGCCAAGGTATTGTTTTGGACAACTGCTGGGATTTTGGGCACGCGTTGAGGTTTTGACAGGCAAGCCCTTTCAAATAGTTGATCCATATCTGTGATTCTAAACATTGAAGCCATTGTAGATCAAGACTATTAAGGGAATGGTTTGGCTGAAATCAACTGGCTGAAGTTCTGGAGGTTGAGTTGGGAGTCTTTATCTTTAGAAAGCATAGAAAAGAAGTAGCTACTTATACTTTTTTAAATCAGAGGGAATTAAATAAGACCCCCTCTAGTGGTATGTTATCAGGGTTGGTCACATTGGGGGGAATTTGAATATCGGGTATTAAGAAAGGAGCTAGAGAGTAACTTGGTGGTTGTTGGCATATGCATCGCTTGGCGTTGGAAGACTAGGCCTTTAATAATACTGGAGCCACGACTTATTAAAATAAATAGAGAGTACATCAATTATCTAATGCCTAGGATATAGCGAGAATTGCGGCATCGTAAGATGCAGTAGAGAAAAGTTCAGAGAGTAAGCTATAAGAGAGATAATAGAATAGAAATTCAAGAGAGAGAAAACAGAACAAAAAGAGTAGTTAAAGTTAAAAGAGAAAAAATGGATCACAAGAAGAACCTGATCTTGAGGAATATGCCTATCTTCATTCTGGCTTTTATGCGGCCCATGTCTCTCCCCTTCTTTAATCTGGCTTTCATACGGCCTATGTCTCTCCCCTTCTTCATTCTGGCCTTCATGGCGCCCGTGTCTCTCCTCCTCTTCATTTTCCTTCTCAACGGTGTTCTCTTTCCAATTCCCGGATTCGTTGTCGTCTATGCTTTCATCTTCGTCTATCCCATACTCGGATTCGTTCTCATCTTTGCTTTCAGTTTTCGTTTCCTCAACCTATTCACAGTTTAGCATAATAACAAACCAGTCTGTATTTATAACACACAAGCTGCTGGTATTTGAGTTCAAGTATGTCAGAAGACTTTTCTTAAAGCCCTTCTAGGATGCCGAGCACGGCCGAATAGGCTTCGGGCCCATACTCGGAAATAAATGCCACAGCTGCCCGAGCCTCATTCAAGAATTTGGAGAACTCTTCTTGGATCTTGATGTTATCCTCTATTCCGGCAATTTTGTTTGATGTCTTTTCTGCGAGTACAACAGGTGTGCCACCAGTGGTGAATTTTAGGGACATTTTAGCCTTAACTTAAGTTAATGAAATTGTAGAAGTTAATTAAGATACTATAGTATTAATAAAGGTAGGGATGAATGTAGCTATATATACTAATGCGAGTAAAATAATTATGACTAATTCGAATGCTGGCAACGGAGAAGCGATAAGACAGAGACTAACTGGCGTATGTACTTTGGAAAGCTATCTACAACCGAGACATACAAATTTACCTATCAGTTGCTCACGTCTATACACGTATAGTACGCAGTATCGTGCAGTACTACTGATTAAACTGCACTGATGTCTGTAACTAAGAATCTCAACTCTATTGCTGTTGCCTAATAGTCCATACAAAACGTGGTCAAGATTTCATGCTTCTGGCAAATCTCATTCCACTTGGTAATAACATTCGATGAATCGGCCATCATTCTTACAGAATGCGTAAACAATACAAACTTATACACCATCATCGCTACATCAAAGACATATAAGCGGGTGATTTCATAGAACATAACAGGTCCTACTAGATCAAAAGCATGTAAAATGGAAACAAGGTAGTCATATTCCCTGGAAGAATTAATAAAGTAGAAATATTAAATAATGTTAATAGCTTACTGTACATATCTTTGCAATCGATCCGGAATATAGGCCAACTGACTCTGATTAATATAGCTTATAATTTTATTAAGCAAGTAGTGAAGATTTTGTATTTCTTTATTGATATTGGGGGATGCACTGACGGCCTTGAATAAAGGCTACAAGAGCTCTATTTCCGCATGTATATCCGAAAGCTGGCTAATGTTATAGATGCAACTGCCTGGATGTAAAATACTGTTGTTCCAGTGTCTGGTGCAGTAAAGCTGCTCATAGAGTTGCTCTCGGATATCTTCTATACTTAGGGAATGTAATCGTAAAAAACAGATTTCTCTGAACTTGTCTCTTCGCTGAAACATGATCAAAATCTTCATGCATTGTTTTATGCTGTGAATCATGTCCTGAGGAAGGAGTTGAAGATACCTATTCAGTCCATTTGTAGAAATGTGGTTCACTTACTTCCATGGAGCTAATGCTTTGGGATATTCTATGTCATATTCTCTATAACCAATCATTAACACTATCCGAAGGTATAAGATATTATAACATATATGCATGTCCGGAGGAGGGCTAGATGTGCCATTCAAAACTCGCCATGTGCACTAGTATAAAAGCTTGTGATAAAGTAAGCAACCCAGTTTTGGATAAGGGCAAGATAAACAATACCTTCTTTTATGTTCTTATACTAATGCAACCGCCCGTTCTATGTGTGGCCGTCCTTCCACTACAGAACGCCGCTGAAGAAAGTAAATACCGGTAAGAATACGAAGCCGTAGTTCAGTAAGGATTACCAGATAACAGTCTTCGACCAGTCGAGATTCCAACGTTTCTAATGCGTTCGTAGAGAGGCCAAAAGAACCGGCATATATCTGTACTGGAATGATGAAAAGCTCGTTCAAGAGTGTAATCAAGTATCTGAAGTAATCATCATACTGAATAAGGTTATGTACAGCCTGCGGCGGCATTACAGGGAACCTAGGCAGTACATAGTGGATAAAATTAGTAGTAGGCGTGTTGGCGTATGACATGGTGAGTAACAACTTCTACAATAAGGGCGGAAGATGATGATGAAGACGTAGACAAAAGCCAGCCTTTTATTATAACGCACGAGAATATCAGGACGCAATCTTGATTATGTTGGTGTGCCCCGAGGTAAAGACCAGCTCTTGCATATTGTAAAACAACCTGAACCCTTTTTATATTGCTCTTATGAAACGAGGATACTATGCAAAACTTTACGCATATAATATTCTGCCCACTAAATAACCAAGCTCCGATGTATTAGAAATAACAGACATGCGCGTAGATTACATTATCAAGTGGTGCGTTAGGTGTCTATTCAAGATATAGATCACCAGTTCCCTCTATGTTGTTTAAACGGGGAGCTCGTGAGGCACAATTGACCCGCACTGTACCTTACTTATATAATTTATGGCAAGAGTTGCGCATTCCATTGCATTGCGTATGACTTGCTGACCCAGTGTTGCCAGCCCAGCCAGAGAGGGGGACACCAAATTAGTACCCATTTGTCCAGTCTCACTTTCTGGTTTCATTACCCCGCTCAACCCCGCCTTGAGCAAAATCATTTGTACGTGAATTTCGGTGGGTCCAAATTCACGGATTTTGCTCAAGGCTTCACAGATTTAGACCCACTGAAATTCACGTATTTGTACGTGAATTTCAGTGGGTCCAAATTCACGGATTTTGCTCAAGGCTTCACAGATTTGGACCCACTGAAATTCACGTACAAATACGTGAATTTCAGTGGGTCCAAATCTGTGAAGCCTACCTATTGGAGCATTGCGTATGGTCACGCGTCTTCATCAGCAAGCATCACCTAACATGAGAGGGGGTTTAATGGGTCTATCACATCACCTATTTTACTACTTCCCAGTTAGCAGCAGCTTTCCTTGCCTTTTTTTCCCTACGCTTTCGTCTTCCATTCTAACTTACTGCAATGGCAATACATATTTCTCCCACTTCTACGGAAATTGAAGCCTCCGTTAAGGAAACTATACACTCTCTACTACAACGTTATCCGGAACATAACCGGGGAAGTGTTTTAAGCGAAGTACTGCGACACTCCTTTCAGACAATAACCATAGAATTTAAAGGTAAAACGTTACCAAAAGAACTACGATGGTGCGAAAAATTGCCGACAATAGTGCTTCTGGAGGAGTCAATCCCGGGCGAAAATCAATTGATGGCAGAGCCTACTACGCAAAACGACACAATCACCACACAAGACAAGCCGATTACTGAAAGATGTTCGACTCCAAACGATACAACTCATGACAGTGCATCAGCGACGCAGGATACATCCAATCCCGAAAGTCTCCCAGACAATACAGCTCAAGATGGTGCTTCAGCGACGCAAGATACATCCAGCCCCGAAAGAAATTCGACGTCGGGCAATGCATCATCAACTCGAGAGCCTTCATTGCCAGACACCATAATACCAGATCTCATGGCGCAGACTGAGAATTTTGAAGCATGGACTAAGGATCCGTCCTTATTCTGGAATTACTCAACACAATCGCTAAAGCTTCCGGAGCCAACACTTGATGAACGACGCAGATCTTTATGTGAGAATGCTGCAGAGGAGTGCAAAGAGGCTATGATTCAGACTGCTACCCGAAGATATAGGTCCATTATAGTCTATTTATTGTTTAAACAATCAGTTGACTCAGAGAAAACGAGATCCAACTCAGAGAAGACGAATTCCGACTCAGAGAAGACGAATTCCGACTCAGAGAAGACGAATTCCGCCTCAGAGAAAAAGAAAAACCAGTATATCACAGCACGGGCTATCTACAATTTTCTCGATTGGCTCGGAATAGAAGCGAGTGAGGAAAAAAAAGAAAAATATTGGAAGCTTCTTCAGTATGGGCAAAGGCGTCTGGAGTTCTGCCACCGTTTAAGCAAAATGAACAAGCCATTTCAAGATTTCAGCCATAATAGTGTCAACTTCGAGGATATCAAATATGGCTTTTTATATCTACCCCTGGATGATCGGATGTAAGATCTTGTTCTTGGCTATAACTTTTGTTCGGCACTAATCCTTTATGCAGGTGGGATAAGACGCAATCACGTTACTGCAAAACATATAACGACACCCTCCGCGATCTAAATGTTCAAGAACTTCTTAACGCGGTGGAGACATCTGGAGCCAACCTTGCGGCAAAAACTATTCTTCAGTATTGCCAAGCACTTGTTCAGGGACAGCCAGCGCTCTCTAATGGAATTGATTGTACATTAACATCGAATCGGTCAGAAGCGGAAAATGCTGTTCAGGAACCGCAAGCACCGGCCGATGAGAGTAATAGTACAGCGGCTTCAAAACGTTCCAGCACAGAAGCCGGTTTGGATGACCCGACAGCGTCAAAACGTTTTCGCCAAAATGTGGACATTTTGGTAGAAGCTGGGACAGCCATTGCCAACGACTCCAATCCACAAATTGTGCAATCGAACGAGAACGCACCCCCGAACAACGCGTCTTCTCCGAACAACGCGTCTTCACTGAATAACACGTCTTCTCCAAACACTGAGGTTGATCAGAATTTAGTAGACACCCAAGACGGCGACATGGATGCTATTAGTGAAGAACCTAAGCCACTAGGCGTGGCTGATCTTTGGGATGGGGATGACGCGTATCTTGATCTGATCGATTGGGACTCATACGAGCCCTTTCACTTTAGCACTGAGACGGGTGGCATATTGCGGGGGAGCCCGCTGCCTAATGTCGGAAGCTTATCAATGGATAGAACAGACGCTTTACAAGCTAGTAGTTGAATGAATTTAAACTTTCATGTTGGTGCTCCATTCTGTAATCATTGCTGGGGAGTACACAGGCAAGGCAACCTTCTGTCCCGCACTCTCACTGTCCGCCTTTTGGTTGCCCCACTCCGTCGGTAAAAGTCAGGTGACTCTTCGGTGACATCAGGCATCAGGCTCTCCACCAGCTCAGGAAAATATAATACCCTCTGCGACATACCCTCTACGACATACCCTCTACGACATACCCTCTACGACATACCCTCTACGACATACCCTCTAGGCAATAACACCCCGAACACCAGACCTCCACTATGGACAATGCGGACGAGGAGCAGATCTCCGAACAAGTTCTGGATGATCTACATCTTCCCGTTGTTTCCAGCATATCCCGCGATATAGCGAAGCCGAAGACACAATGGGAGCGGCGGCCGTCAAATAATAACAACGTTAGCTACTATCATTGCAAGGATAGCACTTTGATAAAGTTGACATCCCCTATCGCACTACAAGTGAGTTTTACTTTCAAGCCGACTTTACTGAAGCAACTGGGAGATGGTATCTCTTATTATTCCCAATCTTGCAATTAAGCCTGATATATTCAAAACTGACACTTTATAGTACTATAAAATTATAATTTTACGAATCGAATCGAAGTCAAACCGTGCAAAAATAAATCTTTTCCAAACTGGAGACCTGGTACCATTATCTTCATATCCAGGTTGCAGTATTTCAGATGGCGAAATATCTTTTTCATTAGAATTTGGAAAAAAAGTACATTTATCACAGAGGCAGCTTAGTCTTCAAATTGAGTCCAACTGTACTCTTTACCTACTCTGGCTTTTCAGAACTAAAGAGGACTTTATTGGAAAACAAAGTTAGGTTACACTCTGAGATACTGCTAGCACCTAGTGTCCCATTCTGGCACAGTGTACGGAGCATTTGTTATAGATACTTGGGTTGCTTTTATAAAATGAGCATGGAAATCGAAATTTATTCTGGCAAGATGCATAACCTGTCCACTGTCTTCACCCCCATGCTTTTGACTACTGACACGGGTTAATCGTCGCAAATAATGAAACGGGGGAATGTATGTGGTATTTTCCTGGTGGAGTAACTACTAGTAGGTGGTTTGTCAGACACCTAATGCAGGGGTAAAAGCTCCGTGCGACATCTATAAAGAATCGGCGCGGCCTGTAAGAGCGACAACAACCACGTATCATATTCTCCGCACCGCCTTGTCTACACTACGGACTTATCATTGCCTCGCCTTCAAAATCGGATCGCGCATAGCTAAGCGATGGACCAATTCATTGGCTCTTTAGGTGCAGCTGTGGATGGATTTGAAGCGCAGAAAGCAAAGATGCTGCTGGAAGTGAAGAAGGAAACCATAATTTCTCAGCCCGCGACTCCAACGCAGCGAAACTCTACGACCCAGATCGAATCGCGCGGTAAAGCGCAGGAACTCGCAACTCTTGAAGATTATTCTGAAACCAAGATCGAATTGCACGTGGAGGCAGCTTTGAAAGAAATGCTGCAAATAAAAGGACGACTAGAAGCTTCTGGCGGACTATCAGAGGCTCATGCAGCTTATTCTAATAACACCGCAGTCCAGATCAGCTCACACGTCGCTAAAGCTTTGAAAGAAATGTCGAAAATAAAACAAAGTCTAGAAGCAAAGAGGAAACTGAAAGCCAAGAAGGCCTAGACGATAATTACAGCCCTTGGCGAAGCACCGCTTTCGAAACCAGATGTCCGGCTAGTTATTGCATATCCTTGTGCTGCCACCGAATATCCACGAGGAGAAGATGTTATTCCTCTTAAGAAGAGGCTGGATAGTAAAGACTTTTTTGCCGTTATCCAAAGCAAGAAAGATATTGGTTTTACCTTTTCTCTTCCGTATTATCACTGGTCTTCGCACTTTATTCTAGATGAACTTCACATTATTTATAATCCTCAGAGTGATGATTGTGTTGTGGAAATAACTACCGCTAGCAAATTCGAATATTATCTTGCTGGATCTAACACTAGAATACCTCTGATTTCCCGGCAACGTTAAACGATGAAACCCGGTGTCTGGAGCATTTTAGTAGAGGGTAATACAATCCGCACCAGTATTAACATTTTGTTACTCAAACGGCATTTCAACATCTCTATCTGCGATGCGAACAGTATGTTAATGAAACGAGAAGCTGTCGACTATGTCAGACGTGACAGGGCAACCAAGCGACTTAAGAATGAGGGTTTGGGAACATATGTCGTCAGTCATACCGCAAGTGTGCTTCCAATGCAAATCGGGGCTACTACCTATACTTGCACTATTACTCGGAAGATCGTCGATAAGGCCATTGCTACAATAACGGATCTTCAAGATGGACACACAGTCGTTGTCAAATCTCAAACTGAGGAAGAAGCATATCACTTACAAAGAAAGCATGAAATTTTCGACTCTGAAAGGGCACATGTTTTTTTTTGTGAGCTTTTGACAATGCCCGGAAAATTAGTAGCTGCGAAAGTCCTCCGCAATAATACCTCGACTGTTTCTACAAATGCATTACTGTGGAAGTAAGAAAAGACATTATTAGAGAGGTTGAACTATGTGAGCACTTTCCCTTCTTCTTCTAGTTCTTTACTTTTTTTTTAACATTCCCACAGCCAAACATTGTGAAACTTATAGATTATGATGGTCGTCTACATGCGCTATACCAAGAGTATCTCCCCCTATCACTTGGTGATAAGAAATAAATTCAACCGCCGTTTGATGCAAATAGCACCAAGAGAATTCTTCAGGATATGGCCTCCGCGCTCGTTTATTTAACAAAACAAAACATTGTCCATCACGACATCAAACCGGCAAACATTATATATTCGGAACCTCGAGGTGCTGTACTTCTTGATTTTGGGATGTCAAAAGAAGATTTTCACGGTATGGTACGATCCGGTGGAACGCCTTGGTACCTTCCCCCAGAATATTTGCATGTGAATAAGAATGGCCAGCATCGTCTAATCCGTGGTTTTCCAGGAGATATCTGGGCGCTAGGTGTTACAATGCTCTACGTGCTCGGGAAATGCCGTCCGGAAAAAACTAAAGATTGGCTTATTAGACGAGCGCATAAAGATGGCCATGACCGTGTTCTGATGCAATCTTGGATAAAATCAGTCGCTGAGTATAGAAAGCAGCTGAAAGAGGTAGATGATGGGATTGGGCGACTAGTATCCCAAATGCTTTATGATAATGCTGAATTACGAGTGACAGCAGCTGAATTACATGCTAAAGTAGTCGCGGTCAAGGGGGTTATAAAGTAATAGCTCTTATAATAGAAATGCAAATTAGTATATGCGATTATATCTCAAATTCAATCTTCCTAAAATGCTTTACCTCCATAATCCCCCGGGGAGGATACCCAACTGGTAGATCATAAATAGACTGCTTGCTTCCTTATTACACGAAGTTTCGACTTCACCCACCCACTGTGGCAATAGCTTCTACGTCATCACTGGTAACAATAACGAAAAGAGCCATATATTGTATTAGTAATGCGCTTATTGCCGGTCAATGAGGGTGTTAGACGTGTGCTCAAACATGCCGTAAAGTCCGAAGATAGCACCTCGGCAGAACGGAGACTAGAGTTTTTACAAACGAAGATAATCTTCCTCTCCTAAGCTCTACAAGTCTAAAATAACCACCTATATATGACATAGTCCTCTCAGGTTAGAGAATCTATGCCTCTACCTAAGCTCTAGTCCTTGCTCATCTTTTTAAATACGCCCACCGAAAATTATCAGACTGTAATGTCTCCCACTTTACCAGTACCTTGGGAACTAGAAGCAAGTCACTTGCTTTTACTTCGTGATACATATGAGTGTCAAGAGAAGGCTGTGGCTTATATTGTTCATCTTTCTTTATGTATTTAACTTTGTGAACCGCTTTCTTATTTTATTTCTCCTGAGGATAACATCAAACTCTCTGATTTTAAGAAGTACAGAGACACTTTACTTGAATATGGTAGAACTAGTGCATGGTGTCTCCCTGACCATATTAGAAAGTTTTTCTTCCCAGAGTAGGTTTACGTGTATTATTTTACAAAAGTATCTAATATCTTAAAATAGTGAAGTTAAAAACTTGCTCAGACTTACTAGCTTTTTCTTTGAAAAAAAGGATCCGCCCTTCGATAGCTGCAAGCTTCGGAATTTATTTTCTGCCGCAATCACATTCAACAATGCCTGCGTAAGAAGCCCAAAATATGGACAGATTCTACGAAAGGAAAAACAGAGGTAATTTGCTCTTAATAATATAAGAAAATATATACTAATAGTCTTACAAGAGTCAAGTGTCCAAACTTCAATTGTTCTTGTTGCTTTTATCTTGCCACTAATAAGTTCATATATTAGGGGAGGCTTTATCAGAAGACTAAGAATAATAAACGTTTCAAAAGACGTCAACCCACCCTTCGAAATACCAGAGCTACATCCTCAGACGGAATAATATTTCAGTTGGTGATGAAAAATTTTGTTTTACGTCTTCAAGTATCTTGAGACTGTTAGAAAAGGAAATCTTGATCTTATACGTCGCCGAATTTCCAACTCTCAGGTGACTAAGGTCCTTCATATATCTTACTGTCTTCTCCACAGAATGTTTCCTTTTCCAGCTTTAGAATTACATGAGATGTGAATCTTTTCTTATGATATCAGATAAAATTTGAAGTCAATACTACGCCTCTTCTTGAGATGTTATATGTCTGTGTGTTGATAATACCTTACATCTCCCCTATCTATACGCTATTTCAGAGTGATGGGAATGTTTATAAGTGTAAAAGGTTATAATTTATTAGGCCTGACGGGTACTGATACTAAAAATCCTCGGCCTCCGTCCCAGCACCATCGTCTACACTCCTCTTTCGTTTTCGTGAAGCGAACCTGGATCTCGTATACTCAATCAATATATCTTGGGCGGACTCCGTTATTTCTGCAGTCGCCTCAGTATTATAACCATGTGTACTGCCTTCTTCCTCTTTCTCCTGCAGTACTCTCTCTGTGCTATCATTCTCTTTTTGAACAAAGAGCTCTGCATTAGTAATTATATCCCCCTTATCTATAATAAATATTAGTATCTATCTCTCCTTACTTTGCACAGAGAAACTTACATTCTGGTAGTGGTTGAATTGCTTTTGGATCTTCACTAAATCCACTGCATTCCTCCTCTTCACCCTTAGCAGGACGGATTGTTGTAAATGTAGCGGCCTTTTCACCGGAAAGTTGCTCTTCTTTAAGCGGTATTTCGGTCGATAACTCCCATTCTTCTCGGGTGCCTAGCAGAAATAATCGTAAGTCCTACACTAAGCTGTACTTAATCACATGTAAAAACTTACACTCTAATATTGCTTCAGGATCATCTTCTTCAGAAACACGCGTGTTTTTATTCGCGTTTCCTAAACGGGTGTGCTGAGTGTCAGTGCTTCTTCGTAGCACTATTTAGAAATAGAGGTTATACCTAGTAATAGTTCAAGTTCTCTGCTTGTACGAGGGATACCTAAATAGTAACGCCTTGACTCTGTCGAGCGAGAAAATTGGATACGATATGGCTGTGTCATTCTTTCTCTCTTCTCTCTCTTTCTGTCATCTCGCCAGAAGTAGTGGCGACCCAAGTGTATTATGTCGGTTTTATAAAACCTAGGATACATAGCAAGAGATGTACGTATAAGTGGTAAAAGGAAATTAGTAGATTCGATGGGAGAGCTGAAGATGATGGAGAATTGTTAACTTCAATAGCCAAGGTGGCACCTTATATAGCTCAAGATCACTCACTCCGCTCCCCCTCTTCCTCCACTTCTTTCCATGTAGCTAGCCGCCGGCTACTGGATGACGTGTATATTGGTCTAGACTTTATCTTATGTTATTTTAAGACACAGAGTACGTAAGTCTGCCTTTTACTGCATGACAGGGGCGTCCCAATCTGCGGCCAGCTAAGGAATCAGCCTATGGGGGTCAAAGATGAGGCACCCCGGGCCTTCTCGAGCTCCATCAATTACCAATAGAATTAGTGCCATTATTGCATTGGTTAAATAGATCTGCTGACCAACTGATTATTTGTGTCACGGTAGGTTTACATTGGCTACGTATACGGCACGATAATGATCTGCTGATTCTGTGTCCAATGCTTCCTGGTACACGTTGTCAAGATTGAGAAGCAGAATTGTGGAATCAAGTCAATCCACAGTTTAGCTAGATTACACGACTTCCTAGGAAGTCAGAGCTGCTATAGTAGCCAAGCAAGACTAACAGCCCGTGGTGGGACATCGTGACTGAAGACTGCATCTGCATTTATGAAACCGAACTTCTTCGGAAGGTGTGATCGGCCTGGCGCGTAATCAAAGCCACTGATTTTCTTTAGGCAGAAGCGAAAGGCACTTTATTACATGAGAGAGGGGAGAGGGAGGCAAACACTGAGGAGGTAAATAGCGCGACTTCCTGGGAAGTCACCCAGGGAGGTGGGCAAACACTGAGGAGATAAACAGCACGACTTCCTAGGAAGTCACAGCCAGTAGATACGCTAAACTGGAATAGTAACACCTATCTTAAGCACAAGATGTTCTCCAAGTGTTAAATGAGTGTGACTAGTGAGACATCCAAAGTATAAGAACCCGTTCTTCCCCCAAGGGAGCCAGCTGGTTTCCTTCTCTTTATAACTCCCTATACGTACAGCATCTCTTTTCTCACAACATCTCTTTTTCACAACATCTCTTTTTCACAACATCTCTTTTCTCACAACATCTCTTTTCTCACAACATCTCTTTTCTCACAACATCTCTTTTCTCGCCATGTCTGTGCCCCCTTTTCAACTGGATAATCGTCTCCAGTCCAGTTTTGCGGACGCCGGGCCTTGTTTGCCGGAAAAATATGAACCACCCCCAAACTATGACGAGAGTCATGCGCCAATCTCCAGAAATACCCTTGGGCAAGTCTCTAAAGGCGCTCTAGAATACAACCAAATCTCAACAAAGCTCATCGAACTGGTTTACAGCATTAGGAAGATGCCCCCTGGCGTGCTACCTTTGTTGTTACAGGATCTTAGGGCAATCCTGCTCCAGGAACCACCCGCAAACAAAGTGGTTATGATGAATTTCGTTGGCATCATTTACAATACTTGTAAAGATGTGTGTCAAAGAGATGAAAGCCCATCTACCAGCCATGAGATAAGCAATCTACAGCTCATTGAGCCCCCCGAAGGCACGACGAATGGCGAGCGGCTGGGGGAGGACACGACATCAGCCAGATTCAAGGTAAAGGAAGATCAAGACGCCATCATGGAGAATCAGCCTCCAAGTACCACACCTCCAACTGCCACACCTCCAACTGCCACATCTCCAACTGCCACATCTCCAACTACCACATCTCCAACTGCCACATCTCCAATGCCAACTCACACCATTTCTTTGAGGAAGAGGAATAAAACTTCTATTGCACCACTTAACACCATGATACCAAAAAAGGATCGGAACGTTCACGAAGTTCCTGTGGTCTCTGGGACGCCTGCTAGCGAAGAAGGATCGGAACCTTCTTCTCCGAGTATACCATTTTCATCCAACAATGCTCTTGCCGAAGGCAAGAATCAGGCGTTATATCAGTCTCTCAAGAATTTTACTCAGGAGGCTCGTCAGAGAGTTGAGAATTTTTCTTCATTTGGAGTCTCAGGCGAAGCTGACATAAAAGTCATTGGCTTGCTCCAAGATGTCGAGAATGATGAAAAGTGGGAATCTGGCTTGAAACTTCTCTCAGAGATAGAATCGGCACAGAAAATTGTGGATTTGGGAAGCATCAAATACGCAATAGCGGCAATGAGATTCACGAATTGGCATAAATCACAAGTGAGTCTGGCATTCAAACGGATTCAATCAACGGAGACATCGACGAAAACATCGAAGAAAACATCGAAGAAAACATCGAAGAAAACATCGAAAATCACGTCGTCGAAAGTAGTGCTAAAGGAAGCATCCCAGTCTGTCACAAGCGCACTAATTCGCCATAGCTTAGTTGGAGATTCTCAAGCAAGGAATCTATCAAGAAAGAAAATTGCCACATATCTGTCGCGTGGAAGAAAGTGGCATCGACTGGTGCGAGCATTTGGATTCGGTATATTGTTCTTTAATCCGTGGTATGTACGTGATATTTCGCACGTTTACGGAATATGGCTAATCACGAAGTAGGGAACTTGGAAAAACTATAAACCCAGAGTTGGATCTGCTCATTACGAAGCTGCTAGAAGATCAGGATAAAATGATCATATTTAAGGGCCTTGAAGAGCAGATGATCAATCTTTCCAAGGAGAAGAGAACCAACAAACAACAGTTCGACAAGTATCTGCGAAGCAATAATTATTTTACTGCCGATGATGAACAGTCCGCCGATCCTGGATTAGAGGAGTTCTACGAGGAAGTTGTACCATTAACCACGGGCGATCGTCTGGTTATTGGAGATACGGGGCACACTTTTGACAAAGAATCACTTCTTTCTCTAAGGCCAGATACTTGGCTCAATGGCGACATCGTCGTTACTTGTTTATATTTATCAGTCAAGCAGGATTTCGTCCGCGTTTGGAAGTCAATTCCTATTCACCAAACGCCAAAAACCCATATGCCACTAAGACGCCCTTTCGAATGCACTGCCGCTCAAATATCGAAATGGCGTACAGAACTGGGTACATTAACGCTGGTGTGCGTCTTCCCCCTGTTGCTAAACAACAACCACTTTACCCTTCTTGAGATAAATGATAGAGAAGGCTTTATATATTATTATAATTCTCTAAAGGGAAGTTACAAATATGTTAAGGTATATCAGTGTCCAGAAACACCACATCGGCGTAATGACTGACTAGTATTTAGGAAGCATGTGAGAAAGAAACAATCTTCTCTCATTTGAAGTTCAGAGAAACAGTAAGCAGCATCTGTTTATTTCTTCATGAATGACATTAACCAGTGCTAGGAAGTAACGCAGCAAGAAGATAGCCATAGCTGCGGATTAATGGTGATTAAGAATGCCCAGCGTCGCATGATGGGCCTACCTGTAACCTCTTACGACGAGTCATCCACAAGTCCGAACGAATTAAGACATGAGGCCATAGGTTTATTGAGAAAAGCGTGGATTGATGGTATTATGCTTGAAGCCCCTCGGAGGAAACGCAAAATACAGGAGGGTATTGAGCAATGGGGCAACAGAGGACAAAGTGAACGACAATCGAATAAACGACAAAAGAATGTGCGATATGAAGAAGGGGACAAACGACGACAAAGTCAACGACTAATGAATAAACGACAAAATGTGCAATAGAGAGCAGCTGTAGCTAGAGAAATAGGAATTGAACGTTCTTTTGGCCATCCCATCATCCTCTTCCCTTGGCGCTGACGTATTATCAAGGTAGTGGTATAGCACGTATAGGGCGTCTGAAAATAGACAAGCCCTTGAGCACTGTCAGTATCATAAACGTAACTAGAATGATACAGATGAACGCTTCTGCTGCCGTTATAGACTGGCAGTATGTGCGAAGCTATGAACCACATTGATGAAAGCCAACATGGTAAACTATGACGATAAAGATTGCCAACTAGATTGCCGTAGTGATGACGCATAAGGCAAACGCAGCTAGAGTATTGTAAAAGTGCGTAATATAAAGTGATGTAGTTGCTAAATACGCAGTCACTAGTAAACTCAGTACTAAACTTAGGATGGTTAATGGGATTATTATTTGCCCAGATTCTCCGAAGTAAAGAAACCCTGTAAAGTAATTAGAACGAGTAATAATACTTTCTTTTCTTATAAGCCTACAATATAATGATGAAAAGTATAAATATAGCAAAAGGCTTAGCTCAACTGTACAAAAGATAAATAATGCTATATAAATAGCGGTAATGTTTCCAAGAGCCATTACTGAAGAGATGAGAGATGAAAGTCTTTGGTTAATTAATTAATAATCGTGAGCAGATATTGCTGGGAGTATTTTCGGTTGCTTGATTTAATATATTTTGAAGCTGGTGAAGCTTCTTATATAGGTATGTAGGTATATGTGAGGACGTGGACTAAGTGCTGGTGAGTCTAGTACTAGTCCACACTCCGGTATGTAGGTGGGTATCTAAACTAGTACTCTCTATTAAATGCAGCGTTAATAGCTCCTATATATATGAGGGAATTGAACATTTGGACGCTTTGAAGTACAGTGTAGTAAACAGTTCTATCAAATGGATTTCTCGACAGCTACTGCGAACCTTTATGCAATCGGTAGAGCAGTGATACGGTGCAAGCATCTACGCCCGTTGATTCTATGCTATCTATTCTTAATTTGGCTCTGCGTTACAATAACTTATTTGCATTACAGTGAGCTCATTACCAACTAACGACATTGAACCTTAGGTGCATGCTAATCGCTCCCTTATTTAGAGAGCCAGCGCCTTGCATAGACTTCCGAAAATTCAAATACGCATTGTCACAAGCAAGAGCGCACGGCAATTCGTCTGGCAGTGTATTGCGGCCCTTGGGGATTAGATCAATTCTATGCTGGTCGCACATATATAGGGTATGCAAAGCTTTTGACTTTGGGCGGCATGGGCATTTGGTGGGCGGTAGATGTGATTCTATGGACAGCAGGCGGTATGTACAGTACTCGTGGATGCCCTGTAATACCAGTATATTTAGTTTAAAAAACCCCTCCACTGTTCTGAAAATGCGTAGAAATGGGGGAGAGGGGCACACCAATGATCAATAGCAAGCAAGTTCAGAAGTTGCGTGTACTAGTAACTGCGCATCCATAACAAATGCATACGCCAAAAAGAGTCCGGTCTACTAGTAGCTGCAATAGCAGAGCGGATGTCTCTTAATTTGCCCAGGAGCGAGTACTGGTAAACTTGAACTAGCCACGCTGAATACCAGTAACTCGTAAGAACCCCAAAAGGGCCACGCCGGGTTTACCGCACCGAGTACCAGTATTAAAACGAAAGGCTAAGTTAAGTACCAGTAACGCGACTTATGTGGACGTGATTTACCAGTATTTAATCAGAGCAGGTACTAGTAACTTATTTAATCAATTACCGGTAGGCGTAGTATACCAGTACTATGATGAAATTTAGTACCAGTAACCCAATTGTACCAGTATCTGTATACCATTTGATACCAGTACCTATAGTATACCGGTAGCGTAATAAGTTTAGTACCAGTACTTCGCTTGGGTCTCAAATTTAATACCAGTATCAAGTGGCTGGCATTACCAGTAAGGCCATCCAGCGCGCATGGGCATAGGTCCGTCAGGCTCCCTAAGCTACCAGTAGCGCTGCTGCAGACACACGAGTTACTGGCAAGAACCGCGGCATGGCTTATTTTAGTCCCCGTATCGTTGCACTGGATTAAGGCAAAATTTTCCCCATGCTACCAGTAACCGCCTACCTAGTGAAGGTCGTCTGCCTACATGTACGTACACGTACTCTTGGTGTTTATTTTTAATCCCAATGTATTAGGGGGGGGGGGGGGGGGGGCAAAAACACCTACGTATAAGAGATGGTATTTTTCCCATGGCATTAATTCCATTTTCACACATCAGAAACATTCATCCAATTCAACTCACACATCAGAAACATTCATCCAATTCAACTCACACATCGCAATAACAAAAGAACAATCACCATGACTGCCACACTAGCGGATATTATAAACAAGCTCAGCGTCACTGATGCCTTAAGCCTGAGAAACCACTTTGCTCATAGCAAGCTCCTGCTCGACTGCCTTAGTTAACGAGTCGACCCGGTGTTATATTTTCAACAGACGTTTGACTATCCAGTCACTCTAATGGCAGCCATGTTCGATTCCGGATGTATCTTAAGTGGCTCTAGGGCTCTGGAATACTTCATCCCTGGATCGGTTGGCCCTGAATCAGATTGGGACTTTTATGTCCCAGCATATAAAGAGTCGGTGGCCGACATGGTGAACGCCCTCTAAATCTGCGGTGTCAGTTGGAATACGGGTGCAAGCAACATTGCTTCAGAGTTGTTCAGCCATGGAAAAGCCACTATAACCCGAGTGATGTTAGAAAGCTTGGTCACATAGGTCACTGGGCTCGTAAAAGAGTCAGCTTCTCGTATTCTTGGAAATGAGCTCTACGAGGTTGCTTAAGTATATAAGGTTGCCCGAGGGGAACTTGATCTCACGGACGCCAGTTCGCTCGAAATAATACTGGACACCGAGAGAAATATTCACTTCGTCCCGATTCTGCAAGTGTTGCCTTGCGAAGGTGATAAAACTCCGTACCAAGATCTTTTTGGGAGGCCATTCAGTATTCTCAACGGTACAATCGCCACTTCGAAGGGATCTGAAAAAGTTCAACTTATAATTTGCTCTCGCTACAATAAAATAAAAAGCTGCATGTCTTTCATTAGGGATTTCTACGCCAGCCATGTCCAGTGTTTTATCGGAGGTTGGTGCGCGGGCCACCTATACTATAACTAAACCAGCACGAAGAAAGCAACAGTTTGGAGACATTCCAAGAATAACCCTGCAATCTTAAAGGCGATACAGAAATACAAGACGAGAGGATTCGAACTTATTGACGGTAAAGGCTCCAGCGCTGTAATTTGAACTTTAACTGACGACGACGCGCATATGGGGTTTTTCGGCAATATATATCGCAAGTATATTCCAGAATACTGCTATTCTATTCTAAATAACTGGCTTGATAAGAGAGAAGAAAACATCGAGAGTCTCTTATGGCTGGAGAATGATGGGCGCATTCTTGGTTGTTCGAGCTTGCTGGAGCGCTTTCATCGGGAATCCAACGTCACATTTGCGGGCTCCGGGCGAGAGTTGCCTATGTCTGCTCGTCGCCGCCTGGGGAATATGATTGCAGTCAATCTAAATGGCCCGGATGAGCTTTGTTCGAGAGCCTACTGTAGCGCGGTGGGAAGGAACGTAATGGAACATGGATGGGAAATGCAAACAGTGGCGAGGTCGGGTACTGCAAGCTGTTTCTTCAAAGATGCAACGCCGTGGTCGTGGGCCCTCTAGAAGGCCCGACTCGGATTTTAGGGGACTGAGCTTCTGAACTTTGCGATTTTCGTTGGCTGGACCAACTTGCTTATCCATAGGTACCTGTAGTTATTCTTTAGTAGTAATCGGATTTGTTTTGATGTTAACCCCAAAAATATTATCTACGTACGCGCATATACCTGTTTATTCATTCTACGAGCTGTAAGTTATCACCTACTGTAAATGTATAAGCACTGACGTAAATTACTAGGTACTACTGAGTTTTTAACATGCAGCCTTTGGAAATGCAACCAGCACATTATGATTAACCCCCCCTTCTCCCTGAGAAAATGGCGTGATTACTGCAGGCACTAAAAGGATAATCTTGTAAAATGCGGCAAATTTGGCTGAAGATATGCGGGCTTTGAGCATATATACCCACATGCCGAGTGGTTCTTTAACGCGGAAGCCCCCGTGGGTTAGCCTGAATAAATGCCTACACGAAGTGGCATGTCCGTGGAGCTCCAGCGCCATCCAATGTTACGTAGATCTACAGCAGGTAGGTAGCCTATTGGTAAGTTCGCATCAAGGGAATCGCGCGCTTTACAGGCGTGGCCGTACTCGTACACATAGAATGTGGAATTATCCAGGCCCGCAACTGAACTCAATAGGAAATCATTCCGGTGTCTGAAAAGCTCTCAGTGACATTGCAATAATACTAAGGACCAACATGCATACAAATGGTCAAGGTTCTACTCACTAGCGTTCGCGCGTACGAGGAGTCGTAGCCTATAAGGAATCACCATGGCGTGACGAGTCATGGACAGGACTGAACTGATGAATCGCTGAGTTAGCTGCATGTTTGCGCAGGGGCGATCCGTCCCGTCGGTAACGAATTAGCACACCCTCTTTGACACGGAGTGGGAGACAATGCTGGACTAGTGTATGGAGCAGGATCTCACTGTAGCATTTGAAGCGGAGAAGCGCTTTGGATCACATCGCTAGGTCCTCAACCTTGCTGCAGAGCACTTTTGTCACCTGAACACCTTGCCACTAACCGTTGTTCTACATCGGAGAACACCGACAATCACCGAAAATTCCATTACAAGGTCCAACTTAGAATCAAACAATGATGTATTGATGCAGCTCTTAGACTATTTTGTTACACATCGAATTAAGGACTAGTTGTCACTCTCTGCCTGCTCCCCCTCGGTGGAAGAAGAGTGTCCCTGGCGCCAGTTTTCTTCCACCGGCTTATGTGAAGTCTGAGTGCATGTATCTTCTCGCCTTCCTTGAAATGACCCTTCACGCTGCACCCTTCCCTGCGACCAAGTAGAGCCACCTTGTGGCATATTGATGGGAGGAAGCCTGGCGTTCTGTGGTGTACCTGAATACATCTAGACTTGTATTAGACCGAGAAAGAAGTACGAGAAGCAAATGAGCGCACCATGTGTTTCAGGGAGAGAATCTCATGAGTAAGTTGTTGACATTTTGATTCCCATTGTGCCAATTGCTGCTTAAAACGCTGCGCCCGACACTCTTGCCTTATAATAATCTGGTAGAGCACATCGGCTCTTTGTTTGCAATGTTGGTGGGCATTCGAATGTGGTGAGATGGCTTCGTTGCTAGCTTGCATGATAACGGTTTGTCTTGCGCGGGGGTGCTGCCACGAGAGAAGTTGGCCCGTATTAGCATGCGCGGAAGCTGGCCGACAATGCCCGCCGGAAATGCCTTGAGGAAAAGATGCCATAATTGCTTCTGCTGAAAATAAAATACGAGGTAGTTTGATAGAGAGAAGAAGGTATGTACACAGAAGTAAAACAAGACGCAAACACGGAATTTATAAGTGATTTCTTGCTGAAGCATTATGAGAAAGTACATGTAAGCATTAAACCAATCGCCTTCGTGCGACCCCAAACTCATCCTCATCCGCCGTTTTTAACTTCCTTTTCCGGTTGGTAAGATTTTCGGCGGCTATTTCTCTTGTCACTTCCAAGTCGCCAATTTCTGCCACATTGCTGCTAGGAGGAGTTGAGAGAGCAGGCGGCAATTGAAAAGGCGATGGGCTCCGAAGGTTTCGGCTCTGCGGAAGTATACCCGGCTGACGCTGTGTGGGGCCTGTGGCCGAGTGCGTTAGGTACTCTAGCTGGGGGTTATCCTCCAGGCGAAGAACAATCCCATGGCAAGCCATCCCTGCAAGGTAGAGATCCGCACGAAAGCTCAGCCAGGGCAGCGTAGCTCGATAGGGGGAAATGAAGGTCATAGATACCCCGGGAAAGTCCGCGGTATCCATAATTTGCGGCTTAATACTGGCGTCTGGCGGCGGCGTTGTAGGAAGCCACTTGCAAATCTATCTATCCTCTCCCGTCACGGCGTCCAACCTCGCCACGCATTTGTAAAACCTGTCGCGACAGTCGAGGAATACGCGCACGCCTTTGACGCCGACATCAAAAATGTCAACAACTCGGCAAATCAAAGGTACCATCTTTTGTTTGGAGGAGGGTTTGTATTTTCTGACGTAATTTTAAGGCAAAGTATGTAGATGTCTTGGCCAAGCTACTCATAAAGATACCCTGCACTGACTGCTACTTATATATAACAAACATGTATTTGCTTTAGTACTAGGTACTTAAGCCGAGTGATTTTTATTATTTGTATTTAGTCCCCATGGACTTATCTTCTTTTACATCCGGCTTCATTCTAGTCCTCCGTCTTGTTTTCGAGGTGCTGAGCAAAAGATCTAACAACCCACTCCGACTGAAACGCCGACGCGTAGCCGCCCGGCTTGATGAGTTGTCCGGACGCGGAGGCTCCACATAAATAACGGAGACATGATATACGAGATGAAATAGGATGATTTTTTAATCGATTTGTATTAGCTACGGGATCCCGACCAACACAGTCTCCATCCACCTCCACACCTCGGCGACTAACGCTTTCCAGTCCTCCACAACCTCCGGCTGCGCCGGCAGCCCCACATCCGGTGTTGGTCCTGTACACATGCGCCGGCGGCGGAGTTCTAACGGCCGACGCCCCTCCGCAGGCAGCATAAATTCGTCACCATTAGCGCAGTAGTAAATGGAGATTGTTAAACAATGGCTTGCAGGGGCCGGCGGCTACAGGTCTCTTGGTGATCCAGCTGGATGTTGCGTTGTGGCGCACTAGAAGAAATCCCCTTCGCTATCACTAAACGCAGCGTACGCCCCAATAACTTGGTCGATGGGGCTCGGAGTAAGATCCTCCGCCGGCATAGCTATGGCCCTCTCACGGTAGCTCTCAAAGGCAGAACAAACTGTTCGAGTTACGTGAATAAAATTTTCATTCTGTTTTTGGATGTAATGTTGATACTCCTTAATTTTATTTTGGAGATGCGCGATTTTTTCATCTTGCTGAACTATAGTTTAGTGGAGTTTCTCTTTCTGCTCCTGCAGCCTGCGGTTTTGCTCTTTTAGTACAGCTTGGTAGTGCTCTGATGTCTGCGATGGCCGCTGCTTATGATGACGAGGGCTGGTGTACATGTAAGTAGCCGCTTTTGGAGACTCTAGCGGAATTGGCGGGAGGTCTTTCTGATGCTTGGATATTTTTTTTTTAAGAGAGATTTCACCGTGATGATAAAAAAAAGAAGTGGGAGCTCAACAGTTTAAAGTATTTATGTATAGAATAAAGGGAATAAGCTTAATATTAATACATAGGTATATGCCTATGTAGATACCTGTACTTAAAATGGGAAGATGAAGCCCACTATGGCACTTAAACCCCCCCGTCCCTTTCACTCGTCTGGTTGCCGACAAATTTGGTCACGAATGCGACCAAGAATCCTTTCATAGTCTGGCTAAGCTCATCGATAGCTTTTTCGATTTCTTAAGCCTTGTTTACCAATCCCATAATTCTATTGTCGAGATGCGCAATTTTTGCGTTTCCACCTGCAACGGCGGCCTCGAGGCTACTAACCCGGGCTGACATCCCCTGAAGTAGCCTGTAATGAATGTTAGCCACTGAAGCCACTCTATTGCATGGATGCATCACCACCTCGTGTTATCGTTTACTGCCATGTTTGCATAGGGTGCAGTGTGCCCAAATGCATCATTTTGGTAAAAGAAAGAACTGTAATCGCCGAAAACTGATTGCTCATCATTCTTGAACAGAGGATGCTCCATGTCCAAGGCAGTAGGTGGCTCCAGCACTGCTGCGGGGGGGCTTGAAGTTAAATTGAAATGAAGGATAGATTCCAGATCAGCGTAATCTCCCCTACCAGAGGACGATTCACAGGCGGCGTTCGGAGGAGTAGTATCTGAAGCATACAGCGTCATCTTGGGTAAAATAATAAAGTAGATTGTTATCTGTGTTGTTTGCGAGATCTGACTTTCTGCTGCCGTTTTGAACTCAGACTGAAGATGGTGAAATAGTATTTTAAATATGAACACCGATGGTCTACCAGGGTGCTGTAAACGTGATCTACAGTTGACTGGGACTAAAAACGCCCTGGACTAGAATTCAACGGCTATAATAAGTACACGGTTATAATAAGTACACATATTGGATACCTACTAACCTCTTAGTTTACACCTGTACTTAAACACCGGTATCCCATCGCTCTACGTATTCTTACACCAGTGGACCACGCAAACCGGAACATACCCGACCTGATAAAGCACCAATTACACAGCTGTTGTATATCCACCCACGACAAGGTAAAATACGTCTTATCTCTTGCTTTGTACCCATAATTGCCCTGTTCCACCCGCTTCACGCTCAACTTCTGTCCTTTTCGTCACCTGCTTTAGTATTTAAAGCTACCTGCAGCCAAGCTAATGTATCTATGATATAAGCCTTAATCCTACACTAAGCTGTCCCGCGCATTCTGGCGGCTAATGAGATGGAGACAACCTATCGCGCCAATCGTCGACTATAGCGCCGATTTACAGTGCTCGGGTTCTGTGGAAACAGGACGAGTCATACCTACTTAGTGGGAACAAAAGTCTAGGTTCCTCAGGTTACTCTTCATCGCTAATTTGCATACCGAAGGCAATGTATTGCTCAAGTCTCGTGCTACAATCGCACGGCGATGTCCAGCAGTACGGATGGAGTAGGCGATTGGACAGCCAGGTGCTCGTTGCATTTTTCAGCCGCACATAACACCGGTCTCCCTGTCACAGTGGATAATCCTAGTGGAGGCTCTCGATGGTCCACTGCACTTCCAGGGTGCCCTTACACAGCGTCGCAAAATTCCGCCACTGCTGCAGGAACTCAACTAACAACACATGCATGGCGTCCCAGTTCAGGTATCGCGCTGCTCTCGTCAAAGCCAACAATTCGCCCAAGACCAATACGCACAGTTCTACCCACTCATGATCCCAAGATCACTAGTTCTGCAGCTGCCACAAGCGGATTGTTGACGAATACAGTGACATTAGTCTCCACCATCACCGTTTTTCTTACACTAGCGGCCTAGTTGGGGATAAGTGAAGCAGAATCAAGACAGGAGCCCAGGTTGTAATGGTTATGCGGGCTTTGTGTTTTGTTCTTTATATCGAGGATATCTAGCTATCATCTCCATTGTATTTAAAGTATAAATATGACTCGTTTGCCCGTGTAATATTGCACATCTAAATCCATCCAAACACCATATATGTTCTACACTTTACATCATCATCACTATTATGTCTTCCCACAACAAGCTCCCAAGTCTTCGCCCTGAAGATGGCTCACCACGCGGTAGTGAGGACACCCGCGGTAGAGAGGCTACCCGCGGTAATGCGGGCACTCGTGGTAGTGAGGGCACTCGTGGTAGTGAGGGCACTCGTGGTAGTGAGGGCACTCGTGGTAGTGAGGGCACTCGTGGTAATGAGGGCACTCGTGGTAGTGAGGACACCCGCATAGGGCAGCTACGGCCATTGGCGCTGAGGCTGGAGCCGCGCCCTATGACTCGTGTCACGCACGAGTCCCGCGAGACATGTGAGCATTGCGACGAGATTCCCCAGACTCTTCACGAGGCTTTTCTAGCTCGAGAAGAAGCTCGTCTTGCCCGAGAAGAAGCTCGTTTAATTCGAGATGAAGCTCGCTTAGCTCAGATTCGTGCTCAAACGGAGATCCAAAAGGAGTCGCGACATATCCGAGAAGAGATGCACAAGATGTGCGCAGAGATCTACCAACTAAAACAGTCTAAGATGAACGAGGTATGGAACCCATTGTCTTATCTTTATTTCATATCTAATACATAACTAGCCAACGCCCTCGCAGAGCACCTCTTCTAAGGCTTCCACGATTTCTTTCCCTCTCGATAGCCCTAAAACCCCAAAGGCAATAGAAGATCCGGGTTCAATTAAAGACCAAGAAGATCCGGATTCAATTAATGACCAAGAAGATAAGGAGGAATCACAGTAGCCTTTTGCTTCTGTGCCTCCATTATTGCTGGGCATGTAATAATTAGGATAGGATATATAGTATTCTTTATATTATATATTTAGTTTATCATCTCTTCTGTAGTAAATGTTGAATACACTTACGAGCCTTGAAGGTGGCGGCGGAATATATCCATTAGAATATTGCCACATCTAATTATTCCATCTGCTTCGTACCACGAGATAGACGTCAACATCGCAGTCTTTATAAAGTTCATGTACTTTCTGAAGAAGTGTTTTCCGTCGCTTCCAAAATCTTGCCAATTTGCTCTTTCGTCGTTTTTGGATATCTTATTTATGTTGTTCATAAGCACAATCAGGATGGCTGGATTGGATTCTGGCTTAGTCCTCCCCTGTAAATGGAAGGAATAGCTCGTAACACCTTATCTCATTAGCAATAGCGGTATCAACACATGTAAAGAGGAGCATCTCCTACTGCTGGCAAGTCATTTTCTTTTTGCTGATCGTATTATAGAAAAACTTGTAGCTTTCTCAATTCTATGTACTATGCATACGAACCTGGAACTACGTGTGCATGCATTTAATAAGTTGCGCGTCGGGATTAAAATTCGTACTAAGGCTGTAAGCCCCGCACGCTGGGTGCTTATTTAGACAGCCACAAAGAGGCCTATAGTTATAAGTACAGCTGGGATTTAAATAAAAACCGAAATATCTCTATAAATACCAGCGCGTGTCTGTAATTTTATAGTATCTCAAGTAACTAGCTGGAAAAAAAGTTCAAGATTATAAAACATGTCCCTGCAAGAGCTGCCTATAGAAATGGAAATAGACGAGGAGGTGTCGGTATACAAAGATCGTTTATTACAACAAACAGATAGCGCCACGAACCAGTTTATAAATAGTACGGCATTAGATATTGATCTAAATTTACTCGCATCTATAATACGACAGGATGCGTTGCCATTATTTAAGATGCACTGCCAGGAAATTCACCACTTTTGGTCCTGGTTAACAAGAAAGACTTTTATACCTGGAAATGTAGCTATCGGCGATTCAATTATCACCTCTGCTTTTGCAATAGTCGATAATGCAATTCTTCACAGTGGAGACTGCGTCTGGAGATCAAGACTGGCATATGTTCAACTAACTCAAATCTTGATTTCACTTAAATCAATCATCGCACGAAGGGGAAGGCTACGCAGAGGTGTCGGCCAAGGCAATGCCAGTATATTAATCGATCTCTACGTTAAGGCTCAGACTGAACCTTTCTCGCCAAAAGCTTTGCGCCAGAAAGTGCAAAACCGTGTGAGAATCGCTAAACGGTGGGCAGACCTCATTAGCGGCTCCATTTTTATTGCAGCCGTATATAATGACAAGGCAGAAATGATGATGTGAGTACCTAATATTCGTCTGTATATGCCGGTTGACTTCTGATGTCTATTGTAGAAGGGACTTTTCGGTTACGAACGCAAGAATTAAGGAAGTGGCAAATCATGCATTACGAGCTTGCACGTTATTTTTACCAAAAAAGTCCATGCTTTCAAATGACTATATATTTGAGCAAGATATGGCAGTAATCAGGCCTGCGTAACTGATTTCAAGTTGGATTTAGTGGCTCAGGGACTTAATTTAATGGATGAGGGGGCTTAATTTAGTGGATGACGCTCTTTGAATTTAATGGATGTGGGGGATTAATTTTCGTGGATGAGGGGACATCAGTGCTTAAGTTAGTAGATGAAGCGCTGGATTTGGGGGATGGTCAGGTTTGGTTTAACAGATGAGAAGGTCTGATTTGGTCGATGAGGGGACTTGATTTAGTGGATGGGAGGACTTGATTTAGTGGATGGGAGGACTTGATTTAGTGGATGACATGGACTTGATTCAATACCAGACTCATACTTGCATGTCTGGTACGTATAGATGTCCAGGTTCATTAATGTATTGATCATCAACTGTTTGAGTACACATAGCGCAATCTAATGTTTATCCATCAACAGCATGTGCATATACCTACATACAGGTATAAACGTACTATCACAAGTATAGTGTATCATCTGTCTCCTACTAGGTACACGTAGGTAGAGAAGATTCCCTTTAGAAATTGGATATAAAAAAATGTAAGCAAATGCTCAATTAGCAGCGTACAACCGCCCTATATTTATTCTATGTCACTATCTTCTTCTTCAGGCACAAGTGGCTCTATTCTGTTTGTCGTAATTTGCGGAATATCTGGAGAACTTTCCCGGCTGACAACTATTTCTGCTGCTGGCCTGCTAATTTCATGTGATGTGTTTTCCATGTTGATCTGCGTAGGCGCCTCCACTAGATTGGGGTTTAAAGACGGTTGAGATATACTATTAAATGTGTTTGCATTTGTGCGCTGGTTATCTGGCGGCTGGTTTAGCATTTCGATGGGCGCCCTGTTTTCGAATTTATCAACCGTCGGCCCAAAATTGAGATCATTAAATTTCGGCGTGAAAACGTAGTTGTTGTTAACATTAATCTTGGATCTCTTTGGTATAGGGATTGGAGCCTTGAATATACGAAATTTCGGGTCTTTGCCAACATCATTATTATCGTGATCTTCGTCGTCAAAGTCCAAGGGTCGTATTCGAGGGGTTGCCACGTGAGGGAGGGGAAGATCATCTTCTGTATTCTGCTGACGCCGAGTTTCTTCAGTCGTTTGGTCCTTTCCTCGGTCTGACTCTTCGTTCTCATCCATCGGGTCCGTCTCCTCGTCCTCATCCATCGGGTCCGTCTGACCCAGTCGAGATATTGGTCCCTGGGTCTGGCGCCTCTTTCTCCCACTCTTCGTGATAGAGTTTTGTCCTATTGTTATGTTTGGTCGAGCTGTTGCCTTTGGTCGCGCCCTTGGTCGGCTTGCTGCTAGTTGTCGTGCTATTGTCTTTTGAGCATCTAGAATTGTTCGCGGTTGAACAACTTCCTCTACATCATCCATTTCGACATTTAAGTCTTGCACTTCTGGAGTTGTAATCTCTAGGGCTTTAGCCTCGCCATAGAAACCGAAAAAGGAGCGTAAAATGTTGCTCTGAATGCACAAGGGACTTGGAACAGTAGATGGCCCAAACGGCTTCCCGAACAGACGCAGCATAAAAGACTGGTTATAAAGTAACGTAAATGAATAGAAGGGCGGCTTGCCGGAGCGCCATCTCATTCTGGCAAAAGGCTTTTCGTATTGGCGATAATCGATCTGAACGTCTCCGGCGTGTTTTCTGATTTTCTCATTATCAAAGCCCAACTGTGACGCTGTTTGGCAAAGCAACTTGATATAGTCGCTAGAGACGAGCGGGGCTTCACATTCACCGCGAAAATCTTGAAGCGGTCCCTCCGAAGAGAGCAGCGGAAAATAACGAAGTGCCGCTACAAGTAACTGTGCGACAGACCCGTGTGCGTTTACCACAGCCGGGGCGATGAACTTTTCATGATCAGTTTGCAAACTTTTCGCAGCCTTATCAACAAACCAATCTCGACTCAAATTATCGAACAAATCTGGCTTTGTCCTTGTTATGTCGCTTTTTTTTCCCGCTGGCGGTTTTACCTCAACATACTTCTCCAAAATTTTAACACCAATCGTAAGATACTTCATATTCTGATGAAATGTTTGTATGCTCGGAATGATTCCTGGGAAGGAAAGGAGGTTCTGCTCCAGCCTTGTTAATATCTCTTCAGACTCGATAGATTTAAATATAATTTTCTTTCGAAATGCCTCCTGGATATAAAGCCGATCGTTATTGCACCATGCCGGAGTCAAATTCTGAAGCTGATAAACAGTTGATTCGTCTAGTAGATGTTTCGACTCTTCATGTCCACTGAATATTCGCTCATACGAGGAATTAATATATTCTAGGTAGTTCACAATGCATTTGTCCACATGTGCGGCGAGATGCTTTGCCCAATTTCCTAATTGAAGGCCAGCCCACAGTCCTGGATAACACAGTAGTCGATCTAGTGAGTCCATAATAACTGGGCGATCAAAAATAAACGTTAAATGCCGTCTTTTAGGTGCAGATAGTATATTTATCCATTGTTGCGCAATATCATAACGCCGTTGTGTTGCAAAGTAACGAACATTTTGGAAAATGTCCCCGTCAGATATTTTTTTAGATTGCGCTAATAGTCGACTTAGTATGGTATTCATATATGGAAAAATATTGATATATACTAACGCGGCGGAAGGCAGCACATGTGCACTGTGCACTCAAACGATTCATCCGTTCCATGCAATTCTTTTGCAGCTTGCAAAACACCACCATTCACCACGCAGCAGATATCTCGACTCGCAATGCTGCAGATGGCCTCTGAATTAGAGATTCTTCTGAATTCGGCGGCATTTAATTTGAGAATATTTAGCAATCTAGCTTGGATTCTCTGGTCGATGTACCCGGTCAGTTGGTGCTTTAGGTTCTGGAGTACGCCTTCAAACCCGGAGATAAGAATGCCACTGGCTGCACGGCGGTCATCTTCAGAAACAAACTGCGACAGCGGCACCCGAACGACGCCTTCGATATATTTTGCATCCATTGTCATTTACCTTGTTACCAGTAGTGATTCTCCTTAAACACATGTTTATATAATTGTCGAAGAGAAATATTTCTGCAATTTGCCAAGAAGGATTATTTTTAACCCACTCAAATTTAGACCAATCTTAATCTTAGTACTTCCCTTAATAAAAGATAGAATCGCGGACAACGCCAGAATCTCTTCTCTAAATCTCAAAAATAAAAGTCTTCCCACAATTCTATACAGCATCAGCTATCTTATACTTCCATTCAAATGGCTCTCCTTCAATTTCGAACTGGAGCGGTCGGAGCTTATCTGCAAGAAAATTTAAATGCATATAAGATCTTGGATCAAATGGACCAAGAAGTGCCCACTGTAGTAATGGCAATAGGTGGACAAGCAAAAAGGCAATTTCTATCGGCAGCTTCAATACATTATATTACGGAAGATTATTCTCTGTCCCTATCACAGTGGCCGAGTTAGAATGATCTATATCTGCTTGATTGCGAGTTGCACCTACCACCAAGCGGGGTAGCGCCTCAAACTGAAGAACCTCAATTTGGCCACTGCATAAATCACCCTCTAAAAAATTATATATCGCAAGTCGAGTCTGTCATGGGGAGCCTTTATGGCGATATAGCTTTATGCTTCTGCGACTTAACCCTGATTTTTATATCGGATGTTGGAAGCTTCATCAATGCCATTGACGTTCTTTGTCGTTGGATGTACAGGGCGTTGGATGCAGCTTATCCCACTAAGGCCAATGTCTTCTTGGTCATTGACGAAGCTTCAATCAAAGAAAACAATTTATGGTTGAATATCGCAACCGCTATGCTATCTACATTGCGCAAGTTGCAGCCTCACGCTACATATACTTTAACAGAGGTAATGCACTTTAGCCGCCAGTGCTTTGACATTAAGATCAAGGGATAGGACGAGGTATATACTTACCTATGCTTAAATATAAAAGCTAAATCGTGGTACCGTCGGAGCATAGGTCTGGAGTTTTCGGCGATACAGTAGAAGTATTTATTCCGATCAGCAATTGCGCGGTATGCTATAAAACCATCTCTCCCTTTTGATCTAATCATCGCGACGAGAATCTCATACCTATTACCTGGAAAAGCGGGGGAGAATATATCCGATTTCTTACGGGCTTGTGGACGGCAAGATGTAGATCACGCCCAGGTTATTGCATCTGCTCTCGTTATGAACGCGTTTCCCCAAGATATGCCGGGTAAGTAAGCGTTTATATTAGTGGCATCTTAACTAGACTAAAGATTTATAGCTTTTATTCCCGATGTAGTTTATAACAAACTTTACTACGAGATAATGAAAGGCTGTGAACGGGAATTAGGCATTCTAAATCTCAGCCAAGTAGTCAAAATAAGGTTCAAGAGATTGGCTTTAAATAACAAAGAAGACTTCATGCAAAAACATATTAACTACATTCGATCATATGCTAATATCTTTAATATATATACTTGACGTGCATGTTCTATCTGTCTCGTTCATGAGTCAGTCTTTGCGTTAGACTGTCAACATCGTCTGTGCAACCAATGTATTGCGCAAATAGGGCAAGAATATAAATTCTGGAGGTTTAACATAGATAAATGCCTGTTATGCGAAAGACAGAACCAGAGTCTTTATATAATAAGGCCACCAACCGCGGGCCTTAGAGTTCTTAAAGTCAGCGGTACAAACTGTACAATAATATGGCAATTTCTTAAATAAATTCAGCGGCTGATTAGTCTAAACTTAATGCCTTTCTGGGAGCATTTTGACAGTGCTATGGGCAAGGAACTTGGTAAGGCTTTCCATGTAGAAAAGGAGACGTTAATAAACTAATCGGAGAAATATAGGCTTATATTTTATTATTACCCTTCTTATAGAAAAATAGACGTTTTCAGAATGCAAAAACCGTATTCCATATCTCAGAAAACTAAAATATAATAAAAAGAGGATTACTTTTGGCAAAGATTTGCAATGGCATCTGGAAAAATTAAGGTGCTTAACTAATTTAAGGATTACGGGGCAGAGAAAAAATAACACGGAACTGCATCTCTCCAGCACTAATAAAGACAGCTCAATAATTCCTGATATCTCTGTACGATGTAACGGAAGCATTGGTGTCAGATCCTACATCGAATTTGCCTCCGCTAAGCTTCTCAGTTGTTTGTTTTTTATCGAGCTTGAAACATTACCTCGCTTTTATACATCTCCGGATATTTACCATATTGTTCTACGTTGCCGCGTCCCGCCTAGTCATGGACTTTTAGATTTACTGTCAAAGCTCCACAGAAATCACGTGTGCGTTTACTATCAAGCGAGTGAGCCAAGAGCGAGAAAAGCCCTTCTTTGCACGAAATCATTAATAGAGAGCTGTCGCAATTCGCAACCATTTTCTCGACGGCTTAAACTAAGCGCTACATCCTTAGCTGCCACCATCTCCATTCAGGTAGATGGCATTAATGGGAATAGACATAATATCAGCAACTGTCCTTATCCGCTGTATAAGTTGATATCCGACCAGGGCTTAGACACTCCGTTTGGAAGCAGACGATGCAAATCATCCTTCTCAAGCAGCACTATACACACAGGAAGTAATGACTTGGTAGATATAGAGATAGATACATTAGTTGAGACATTACAAATGACGTTGTAAGAGATGACTGGACAGTATTTTAATTTATTATATGTAACTATATCATCTCATGCTCGTAAATTTATTAAGTTTTATATAAAAAGTATGAAGTAGACAAATAACGTAAGTAAACATAAAGCAAACAAAAGACAAATAAAAAGCAGAATTCCCGACAGGAGCGATGCGAAAAGACTAAAAGTATCGCTTTATAAGTGATAACATAGCCTCGCGTTGACGGGTAGATACGGGACTTGGTTGAATGATGCAAGGTAATTCGTTGTTGAACTCCGCACTCTCAGTAGAGTCAATAATATTTGACCAGAGTAGCTCAGTGATCTCATTGTCACTAAGTGATGTTTCATCATTCAGGAAAGATAGAAACGTGTCTGCATCAACGGGAGGAGTCTCTATTGATGGTAAAATGCTCATAGGCACCTCAGTTGGCGGTGGTGTTGGGGCTGGTTGAGGTATATCGACGGGTGAAGGTGCCTCATGGGATAATAGTGAGCTATTACTACTGCTCAAGCTTGGCGTATTTGCCGAATCAGAGCTTGTAGCGGATACAAAAGAGCTAGAGCGCCTTGAGTATCGCTGTGATGTATCGTCGCTATCCGATTCTTGGGCCTGCATGAATTGCGATGGGCCTGATAATTGACCATCTGGGACAGATTGGAATCGTCGCAGTAATCCAGGCTTAGATTGATAGCCTGTGTATTGACCATCTGGTCGGCGAATAACTACTAGAACGTCTGCATTATATTCTTCGTAGAAAAAATGCGCTTTTCTGGATAAACCACGTTGACGGTTTCTCATGCCCCGGGTGGGATCTTTGTTAGTGCGTGAACGGCGGCGAGCCATAGTAGATGAAGTAGCGATAATTTGATTTGCGCTTTCTTAATGAGATTGAAAGGTGATGAAATAAAAACTAGAGATTTGACTTATGGCTCTATTTGAAGGTTTTTTTCTGAGGACGGTAGGCGCCGTCTTGTAAATATTGAGCTGTTCGACACTTCGCTATTTTCTCCACATCTCCGAGCGCGTAGCCGCCGGAGGCCCACTAATCCGGGCCCGTTTCGGATGCCACCGCGTCAAAGCAACTTCTGGGATTAATTTTGGAATTAAGCTAACTTAATATTAAACGCTGTACTAACTTAAGACGATCATATGCAACAGTGAAGCGCGCTTCTAAAATTAATTACCTATAGCAATTCCTCAGCGGTTACCTGTACTAAACTTAGTCTTAGCCCATTGTTTAAAAACCAACAAACCCGCTCTACATTCCCCTCCCCCCCCCCTCCGAAGCATTACAAGCAGCTCTCGACTTTTTCTTCACATCAAAATGGAACTTGATCGAAACCTTTGGTACCTTATTGTTTTTTTTGGCTTTATTATCGTTTCTTTGATTGTTTGGACTGTTAAAAATCTCATCCCCAACCCAAGAATCTTTTTCTTAAAATACATTCTATACCCTAGGCTTTTCCGTCCACGATGGGGATTACTTATAACACGTTTTCAGACAATGCTTCTTTTAAGCTTTTTGTTATGCAATATTCTACTCATTTTAATGCCAATATATCCACTTCCGGAATGGAATTTGATACAAACACGGGTGGCTCTAGCAAGCATTGTAAACCTTGCTCCACTTTGCATAGGGGGTCGGGCTCCAATCATTGATGCTTTAAACATATCGAGACAGTCATATTATCTTGCTCATGCATGGATTGGAGTTATTGCAACTATTGAAGCAGTTATGCATTCAAGCATCTCATTGATCCAGAAACAAGCAGAGCAAAAGACATCTAACCATATCTTACTTTCTGGATGGATTGTAAGTTGAAACATTTGATGGCCAGTCAGAAATGCTAACCATTCTCATCCAGGGATTTAGTCTCTTGTTAGGAGCTTTCTGTATGCCTGTTCATGTAATCAGGAGACTTTTTGGGAGATGGTTTCTCTGGGCACACCGAATCATCGCCATGGGTTCAGTTGCAGTTATATTTTGGCATGTGCTGCAAACTTCTTCTACTATCGCTAGAATGCTTGTGGGCTCTTCCTGTGGGTTTTGGTTGCTCACAACAATCTTTCGTATTCTAAGAGTGCTCTGGTCTGGCCACTCTGGTACTATTATCCAAAGGTCTAGCGACGCAGATGTAATTCAGCTTACAGTTCGACTTATACATCCAATCAAACTACAACCTGGCTGCTACTTTTATATATTCTTTCCCGCATTCTGGCTTAAGTATAATATTCTTTAAAGCTATACTGCCATAGCGTTCTGGTATCCACCGGAGAGTTCTTATGGAGCTATTACGGAGCTTACATTTCTACTATCACAACGTGGGAATTATGCAAAAGCCATCTTACAACTTAGAGAAGGGCAAACAATTCTCCTCGATGGGCCTTATGGTATTAACTATGAACTTTAAACATATGAAACAGCTGTTCTCGCAGCCAAGGGCATGGGCATCGCAGCGATTCTCCCCTTGGCGCTTAGCTTGGCCGCAAGGCGGCACCACGATGAGCGTGTACGAGAGAATCTAGGAGCGCTATCTCAAAAGAATCGGGCTATTCTAAAAGAGATATCTTCCGCAACAGGAAAAGAGCTTGAAGGTCTGAATAAAAAAAAGACAGAGCTAGCTAAAGAAAGGCAGATATTGTTGAGCAAAAAGTTGTACAGAGATGCGATTAAGAAAATCATCCTCTTTTGGTCTCTTGAAAGCAACGCGCAAATAGCGTTAGCACAGGAGCAACTTGTGGCACTGCAAGCCCTGGATCCCAATAATGTAAGTTTACCGCTGACTTATAAAGATCATGCTAACATAGTTTGATCTAAAGGAACTCTTTGTCGTATGGTGTGGGTTTCCACGATATCGAACCGGACCCGCACCTTTTAAAGAATCAGCATATTGGAAATGTTTAAATCCGAATTCTACTAAAAGTTTTGACGTCACGGTTACTTCTAAATTAATGGAGGAGCGAAGTCGGTTAGCTGGTAGCTTTGCCGTTATTGGTGTGTAAAGGAAACCTTAATGAATTAAGAGATATACTGATATATTTAGCGTCCGGAGATGAACGTTTCAGAGCTATTGTCAGATCAGGTGCTGTGGAAGGTATGGATAGTAAGGGTATTAGATATGTAGAGACAGAGTATCAACCGCAAAGCGTTATGCAGGACAGAGAAGTAAGAAAATATAACAGACTTACACTTAAGGTCGCAAAGCAGGAGGAAGAGGCTATGAAATTAAAGCGAAAACAGTCATCTAGAGATTCAGACGAGAGCAGCCTATACTCTACAGTGTCTGAGTCTACTTTCTATTCAGTTCAGGTCTAGTTTATTAGTCAATTATCTTTTAATATATTACTCGATCGTTAAGTAATATTCAATTTTATTATAAGAAGAATAAGCGCTTGATAATATAAACTAGGGAATTTAGTTAGTAAAATTACGTTAAATCTAAAACCAGTACTAATATAAATATTTTGGATTAATATAAGCTATAATGGAGTATGTATGTATTTTAGTACTGTTATATTAAACCTCTCTATTTTAGACAGGAGCTTTCGTTAGTGTATATATAGGACGTATTTTAGTAAGTTTTCGTTGGTGTATATATACCCTGATGTAGCACAAGTAAGATAAAAGAATCCAAAGCAATCCATCCAATACAGCTGACTATACATAAAAAACATATATTACTTCTTACTTCTACCCTTACTTTTACTCTTCCTTCTACCATTCCTTCTACCCTTTCTTTTACCCTTACTTCTAATCAAACATGGCAACCACACTTTCAACAGCAAACAATCATCATATCCTCATAGCCGGCTCTATAAAAGCAGCCGCTAACCAAAATGTTCTTAAGGATAACTTAAAAAAAAACTTTAAAAGTCAAAAGTTGACTGCTATATTAGCAACAGATTTTGAAGAAGGGAAAAGCCAACCACCCTCTATTATTATTATGGGCACACGGGCTGCACCGCATATGCGGGAACTGGCAAAACGGGTGGGCGCTACTCTTGTCTCGTCAGAGTGGGCCGATTCTGTCTACACCTCTAAGAAATGGGTAGTCCCAAAGGGTGAACAGATTTTGTGGCAAAAAGAAGAAGATACGGATGGTGATACTAGTATGGGCGATGCCTCCGGGGAGAAGGAAGATGGTTCCAACAAGGAGAAGGACAAGGGAGATGACCCCAACAAGGAGAAGGAGAAGGGGGATAACTCTGACAAGGAGAAGGAGAAAAGAGATGACCCCAACAAGGAGAAGGAGAAAGGGGATGACTCCGACAAGCAGAAGGAGAAGGGAGATGACTCCGACAAGCAAAAGGAGAAGGGAGATGACTCCGACAAGCAGAAGGAGAAGGGAGATGANGAGATGACTCCGACAAGCAAAAGGAGAAGGGAGATGACTCCGACAAGCAGAAGGAGAAGGGAGATGACTCCGACAAGCAAAAGGAGAAGGGAGATAACTCCGACAAGCAGAAGGAGAAGGGGGATAATCCTGGCAAAAGTCTGAAAAAGGAAGATGACGATTCGCAAGGACTCGGGGGCATTCCTGGTTTTAAAAAAGAGGAATCCGAGCCACCTCAACCTACAGGGCCGAATTCTTTTGAGAAAGACCCAATACGAAGAGCATGGTATGATCGAGTTGACGACGGACCATGGACGATATCCCTTCCCACCCACCCAGGAGATCTGGTTGATGGTGTAGAAGAGCCGCGGAAGAATTATACCATGTGTATAGAGGGTACCTATATGAATTGGTTTGTAGTAACTGATCCACAGACTCCCATCTTTGTCGAAATGCAACAACTACGGGATTCGTTCTTAGTCCCATGCCGGCTTGATCCATCTCTAAAAGAGGCATATATTAAAGCAAAGGGTAACCAATTTCACAGACGCACCTTAGAATCGCTCCCCCCAGCGAATTCTATGGACACATTTAACTTTTGGTCTGTTTCATATGACGGACGAGTATGTATGGTCATCGGTAATATGCCGGGCGATCCTGCACCGGGAATGTGGTCTCGTTCCGATCTGAGGAACGCGTGGGGTATGAAGAAGACGGATACGATTTTGAACATGATCAGGGCAGAAATGGATCACCCATATATGGATAATGGTCGTAAGAAAAATATTCTAGGGGAAGATACTATTGATGAGCTGAGAAGGAGGCTAGGGGAAAGGGGTAAGTCTGTGGAAGGGGATTTGACGAAGAAATTAGGCGGCTTGCGTTTTTAGTAACAGCAGTTTACACTTTCGTGTTTTTATGCATTTTATATTTATTTGCTTTGCAGTCAGTTAGTGGTGTAATACAGTGATGTTCATGATCGGTTTCCTCTTTTCCTCTCTCTGTCTTTCTTAAAAGAGAAGGCGCACGGACCCTTGGTACCTTGCAGTACTCTACAGTACTAACTGAACTGGACTGCCAGAAGTGGCTGAAAGTAATGGCCTAAAAAGCCCCTAGCGCGTGCTCTAAAATCCACTATAGACCGTAAGAGTCAAGTTCTTTCAAGTAGCTACAAGTATATAGTAGCTGTTGGCTCACGTGCTCGGATCGCGACAGTGCCACTAAGACTGTTAGGTACGTAGTGATCGTCATTAGCTACAACAGCAGCGAGTCTCAGGTTATCTCGTGATTACTCATGTGACGTTGGATGCATCGTCGCTCTACCCCCCTATTGGCTTTGCGGTTACATTTTTCATGAGATCAAATCATAGAGAATATTCAATTTTTAATTTATACCTAAATCGCGAGCAATATATTTATGTATTTCATTTCATCAATGCTTTTACAGCATTATCTGCAAACCTCTAAATATGTTGCAACACATAGCAGACAACGTAAGGAAAGATGTTAGTAAAATGTAAGCCACGTGATACCACGTGTCTCCGTACCTAGGCACACCGTGTCCTTTACGACTCGCTGGTGCAACGCCTGATACGCACTCTCAGTAGGCCATCCGCAGTGCTTGATATACAACCATGGATGCGGATAGCTTTATAAACGACTGGTCTAGTGACGATGCGAGTCAGTCTCAGCCCTGTGACTTCGCCGATTCCGAGGACGAGCATTCTCAGCAACCGACTCTAACTCGACGCAGCCAGCTGAGACCTGCCGGAAATGGCCTTGCATTCGTTCCTTACGCTGACTGGAGGCCAGGACGATCGTATAACCAGCAGCCAGCCGAGAATATCTGGTATGACGTGGAATGGAAGCTGTCTGTGAACAACAGGCGGAAGACAGGCGAATCAGAACCGGGCATTGCGTTATCGCCACGCCAGTTCTGGAAATACGTCCTCCAGCCGAAGTTACAAGCTGTTGTGAAGAGTGCCAAAAGTCCCTTGACAGCTTCCGATACGCAAATCCTCTTGTCCGTTAGTGACCGTAAAACGAGCAGTATAACCAAGCGGTTTTCGAAGTTAGATATTAACTGGCTATTTGTGGCAAAGCAACTACAAGAATGGAGCCGGTTCTTGACTGACGACAAGGTTAAGAAACTAAAGGTCGAAATTACATTTTACTACGTTGAGGATAAAAGCAGGACAGCTCCCGCAGTGCGCGGGGCCAATGCCACTCAAGGTGCAGAGAGAGAGGCTCGAATTAGTGCCGAGAGAGCTGTCCTGGGTCGGCCGGAAAGCTGGAGGCAGGTCATCGCTCTTGTTCGTTGCCCAGGACCCCCATGCAATAAAGGCCCTTATTGTTGGCGAGACGGGCAAACGCACTATAAGTTGCTTAGCCATCACTTGAAGATGCTTGTTGATGAGGTGCAGAAAGGCCACAGTATGCAAACACACAATGACATTCCTGAACGTATCCGAGAGGAATTGCACGCGGAACAGCAGCAACAAGCCGAGCGCGAGTGAAAGCGACGGCGACATGATTCAGACAGTTGCCCGACTGGCCTTCCAGTAATCCATATTCATAACGCTCCAAGTAATGCTAATGCCGGGGCTAGCTCTAGTATCCCTTCCACACCTGAGATGGTTTTCCCAACATCGCCTACCTTTGATATCCAGGGATCTAGAGAGGACGCAGTAAAGGCGTATGTGGTGTGGCAGTGTTCCAAGGTCAGCAGTCAGGAACAGAAAAGTTTCTACAACTTGGCTCAGAGCCTGACCTTAGATCACGGCATCTGTCTCTACATGATCTACACTAACCAGAGGAGGTATTTCCAATTCTATAGAGAGCATGGCGTTTTAGATGGCGTTGCGTGGCATTTTGTTTGTGATATTAAGCTTTTTCTTAAAGATGCGTAGCCTTATAGAAAGTGAAGTGGGCTCTTTACAGACACATGGTTATGAATAATTAAATGAATTGTTATAGCGCATGTTTATGGTTCCTCAATGCTAATTAGTGCGTTCTTAAAATGGCCTCTGGCACTCTTTTTCCGGCTGCCCACCGCCTTTACACACTCTTCCAAGAATAACTTGAAATCTGCCTTGATAAGCTCCCAATCGTCATGCACTCGTGACCTGATGTAATTCTTCAGCTCGCCAAAGAACTCTTCAATCGGACTGAAGTCGGGTGAGTAAGCCGACTGGGGAAGCACTACTACGCCTGCAGCCTCACACATCCGCATCATTCTCTCCGAAAAGTGCCATGAGGCGTTGTCCATGACCAGAACAGACCTTGGCTCTGGGAACCTGCCGCAGTACGGTAAAAGCCTCTCAATGAAATCGTCAAATACCTGTGTGGTTGTTGAACCTTCGTACACCTCGAAATAAATCACCCCATCTTGGGTATATGCAGGGAGAATCTGAACCCGCTTGCCGCGATGAAATCGCTTGATCTGCACCGGTATTATACCTCTAGGAGCATAACCTCGCTTTCGGGTCCCAATACTACGATCCGATCCACTCTCGTCAACGAAGACGAAGTGTTCGGAACTATAAGATAACCTCTCGTATATGTATTCGTCCCGCAGGTCTGGATCACGTTCTTTCGCGACGGTTCGGGCAACTTTCTTCGTCCAGTTTGCGTTGTGCAAGGTTCTCCCAATGGTGACGCGAGATACACGGATGTTAAACTCTCTACGAAGGAAAGCAGCCATATCCTCCTGGGTCATGCAAGGCTCGCAGGCTAGTCTGTTCTCTAAGGCGGCCCACATGACAGGAGTGATTTTCTTGGATGGGCCAGGTCTGTTCGGGGGAGCATCGATGGTCCCAAACCGCTTTATGTTCGATCGCGCGTAGCGTACGGTTCGTTGGGTGCATTCATTCAGCTTCGCTATTTCTTCGTCGTTGATCTCTTTCTTATCCTCGAACTTACTGTTGATCATGGCCTCCATGATGGTGCGCTGCATTGTATGTAGATTTGGGGCCATGATAACCCATGCTAACGAGACTGCAGCATACCGGTGACAAAGCGGTTATGGCAGGGAAACAACGATGGGACCCAGCAGCCATGACTCATGCATTCCTGCCTACATCATAAGGCCTCAATTTCGCATTACGGCAGAACTCAGATCCGTATGTCGTAATAATAGCTTGCATGTGATGGCACGTGACTGGATCCTAAATACGAACTTTAAGTCCTGATTCCGAACAACCAGCTTTATCTACAATTACAGAGCATTAAGATCCTGAGAGCGCGAGAATGACGCACCTAGCTTAACCTTAACTTTAACCCTAAACTAACTTCGCTGCATCTTCATCCCTCCCCAGTGCACGATATGTCGCTGCCAGATCTGCCATACTCCCGATTGTATCAGGATGCTTATCGCCAAGAATCTCCCGCCGTAGTGCCAGTACTTCCACTGATATTCCTTCTGCCTCTTCATACCTGCCAAGTTCATGATATGTTGCTGCAAGTCTTGCCATACTCTCGATCGTATCAGGATGCTTGTCGCCAAGAATCTCCCGCCGTAGTGTTAGTGCTTCTACCTTTATTCTCTCTGCCTCTTTATACCTGCCAAGTTCATGATATGTTATTGCAAGAGATGCCATACTCTCGATCGTATCAGGATGCTTGTCGCCAAGAATCTCCCGCCGNTCTCCCGCCGCAGTGCCAGTGCTTCCACTGATATTCCCTCTGCCTCTTTATACCTGCCAAGTGCATGATATGCCGCCGCAAGACTTGCCATACTCTCGATCGTATCAGGATGCTTATCGCCAAGAATCTCCTGCCGTAGTGCGAGCACTTCCACATATATTCCCTTTGCCTCTTTATATTTGCCAAGTGCATGATATGCCGCCGCAAGATCTGCCATACTCCTGATTGTATTAGGATGCTTATCTCCAAGAATCTCCCGCCGTAGTGCCAGTGCTTCCACTGATATTCCCTCTGCCTCTTTATACCTGCCAAGTGCATTATATGCCGCTGCAAGACTTGCCATACTCCAGATCGTATCAGGATGCTTATCGCCAAGAATCTCCCGCCGTAGTGCGAGCACTTCCACATATATTCCCTCTGCTTCTTCATACCTGCCAAGTGCATGATATGTTACTGCAAGCCTTGCCATACTTGCGACCGTACCAAGATGCCTACCGCCTAAGGCCGCCTTCCGCAGTCCATATGCCCTCTGGTCCGCAATCTCCCTCTCTCTCCATCTTCCACGTTCGTATAGATAATACGACAGCCTTGCTAATAAGTTCGCGGCCGTTAACTCTCTTCCACAGAGCGTAGCCCACTCACACGCCTGCTGTGCGTGTGTGATGTACTTCTCGCATTCGTTCCATACCTCTGGTTCACTGACCGGGAAGAGACCGGATATAATCTCAAGTGCTGCGACCGAGAAATACTTTTCCTCTTTCTTTCGTTCCTTTCTACCCATTCCATACCGCATCGCTTCTTGCACTAGCTTGTGCACCTTATATGCGCGATTTCCATCTCCAGTGGCCTGTACACTTAAAAATGAAAAGTCACAGAGACGGGCGATAGCTTCAGTAACTTGATCACCATCACTATCAGAGTCTGATGAGGAATCATCATCGTGCGCTTCGTGAACATGATCCAGCACATTACTGTCGCCGCTGTAAAGAGCTGCCTTCTTGACCAACTCAAAAGGGATGTTCTGGTTATCCAGAAAGGCGTGTATGTGCAAAATCTGATATGATGTCTTGTTTTCAATCTGAAGATGCTTCATCGAAATGTTCCAGGTCTCTAAAACACTGTTTGACACCTCTCGTCGCCGATGACGGTCGGTTTGTGATTGCTTTAGAATCTTCCATCTTTTCTTGCCCTCTTTCAATTTCAATATGTATTCCTCAAGAGTTGTCAAGGTCCTCCTTATATATGCTGCAGCTTGCGATATAGCGAGTGGCAGCCAGTCAAGCTCGGCCAGAAGTGCTGCAATATCTTTTGCCTCATCGCTGCTCACTTGATTATTTCTGACACTGTCAAACAGCTCTTTCGCCTCATTTGGAGTCATATTTGAGACTTTGATTGCCCTTCGTGCAGCAACAAGATGTCCAGCAATGCGCTCGTCGCGGCTCGTCCAAAGAACTTGGCCCCTTGGACCTCGTGGGATGAAATTATCTAGGCTTAATGCATGTTCTCCCAGATTCAAAGCATCTTGTGCAGTATGGCCAACACCAAAGAGCCTCAAGTTATCCGCATTATCCAGAATAAGAACCCAGGGAGGGCTCGTCTCGATACGGTAACGTACGGCCATTAAGAGATCCTCGCCACCGAGATTGCTTGGGAGGCCTAGCCTCTTCGCAATCGACTTGAAGTCTTGGGTGAATGTCGTCTCGTTGTCGGCATGGACCCAGAACACGGAGCAGGTGGGGACTTGGCACCGGCGATAGGCATAATCGAGGGCAATCTGGGTTTTGCTGGGTTGCCGCTGCTTAGCAACGTATTACACATTATAGCGCCTGGATGGCTTACCCTGAGCCGCCGAGACCATAGAGGGCGGCGGTGGAGTAGTCTTCGGATAGCGGCAGGATTCTATCTAGCTCGCTAATAAGGTCTTGACGAGGGATGAGCTCCTCATTGCGGGGAAAAGGAATTAGGACACAAGGTTCGCGGGGGTTACTGGCGTAATTGTGGATCACATCGCCTTGATAAATCCGGGCATTATTTCCAATGGTATTGGACTCGATGGCGCGGGTAGAGCTCATAATGCCACTATTCTTGTCATAGAAAAGAAGGTAAGCAACAAAAGCCAGGCTGAAAGAGCATTTGTGGGCTTAGACAGGATTGTTCTTAGTCATTCACTGGTGCGGGGTAGCCTATAGACTACAGTTTATTGACAAAATAACGGGAATCTAGTAAGGAAAATGATCGCCGAAGCTGACTGCTTCTTTTGTCACCTTTTCCAAGCGTGCAGCGGATAGCGGTAGAACTTAATTCCATAAGTCGCGACAAGGGTGCCGACAAGTACACCGTATATACAAAACAATACATGCACTATGTGGGTCTGTTGACAAATTAACACAGAGAGAGTAAAAGAGGAAACCGATCATGAACATCACTGTATACATTAGTTACTAGTCATGCTTTTCGCGGTTAAGCTTACTAACGCAGTGCATACATGTGACTACCTACCTAAGCCCGGCGATTTTCCCCGCTTCGTCTGGTAATCTTAAAACCTTCCACTTACACATTCGCAAAGACGCGTCAGTTGACTGCCTCAATTATTCCGACCGCGACCGAGCCGGCCGATCACGTACAATGCCGCTATTTGATACCCAAAGACCACCCTTCTGCTCTAACCAGCTGCACGCTTGGTCTGATAACGTCGAACCTCGGATGCGGAACCGCTATGGGGAGTATTACGAGCGATTCAATACTATACAAATCCCTATTCTCGGGGAGAGCGATTATTTTGATAATGCCATCGAGGTAGCAAAGCTCGCTTATGGCCAGGAAGCCGAGTTTAAGCGAATCTTTACAGAGAGGAACACAAAACGGCGGGAGAAGTTATTATCCCAAATAGCTCAGATTACAAGCCAAGTTATATACATAGATGAGAATTTTCCATGTAAAGATGCCCGAAATACAGTATCTGAAGTATGTCAAACTGGCTGCCTTCTGGATTTTCTACGGCTTTTGAAGGGTATTACCTATGGCTGGGAAGCGGACGTTGCAGAAGATGCGCAGCTGAATAGCGGAACATATCTCAATGACGAGATACAGAGCTCTACCGAAAAATCACAACCCATGGATGATGAGAGGATACATGGCGCTCTTGATGGGAAGGCCGATACCTATCACTACGAGATAGATTCTGATTCCAAAGGCGAGACGCAACTGATCGACGATTTTTTCTATTATAAGGCTCTTAGGGAAGAGCAGCCATCGACAAGTGCAACTTTTTATCTAGGCACCTACACGTTTACCCGATATACGACACCTACGTCCAATGGCACGACCCATAATCCCAATGTTTCGGCGAGCGATACATCCACCTCAGAGAATCAAAACAAAAAAATACCTACTGCGCAAGGGAAAAGGTTCGTTTTCCTATGTTATAGTTGCCTGCCAAGGAACGAGTCCAAACTAATGTCTGAAATAATCTAGAAAGAGAGGTCAATACGATGAAGATGTTATTGACGCATCTTTTCAACAGGCGATAGACGGAAGCGCGACTGTTGAGAAACCTCTACCGAATGATGGTTATTATTGTGTCTCCAAACGCCAAAAACTTAAGATTCCTTCTCCGCTTGAATCAACGTCTACCAATTTGCCTCCCCAGCTTGTTACGCACAAAGGCACATCTAGGAAACGATCTAGACATAAGAATCGCAATGATTACGATGATTATGATGACTACGATGATGACCAAGACCAGGGGCATAAACATAAACGTCGAAAACTGGAGACTCCTTCTATACGATACGTTAGAGACCCCGAAGCCGCTGTCACGAAGACCAGACTTGAACATAATACCTGCCGAAAAGGAAAGAAGTCGTCCTTTCAGATGTCACGCTCTTCAAGGCCGAACACCAGGTCCGCAAAGAGAGAAGAGCCCTTTTGTGAGTTGGATCACTCGGGCACAAAGCGCTCTGTATAAGCATCAACTTGGGCTTGTCACAGAGACAATCATTAGCTGTTGTGGCTGAAGGCATGGTCGTTATCCTGGCAGGGCTGGGTGCAGCGGCGCAGTCTGGAGAACTTTAAGGGCATGGTCGTTATCCCAACAGGGTTGGGTACAGCGGCGCAGTCTGGAGAACTCCGCAGCTGGAAGCTGTACAACTAAGGTCATGGTCGTCATCCTTACCAAGCGGCAGTCGTAGCCTTAAACCCCCCATCATCACATTCGGCACTTCTCTTGTAAAGATGATATTATAGGAGCAGACTAAATTTATATTAAACAAGCTTATCCTCCTCAACCATCAAAACATTCTCTTTAAATTATGGTAGATACTGATCTCTTCCCTAAGCTGTCAGCTCCCGAACACCAGTAATCATAGTAAAAATTTTCATCAAGCTCTTAGTTGCACTAAATACCTACTCTGCCTATAACGTAGTTTTTCCATTATCGTATGTAGAAAACACTAAATACCATCGACTTCCGTTCATAAAAATTCCTAGGATAAAACCAAGCTTTAATAGCGCACTAAGCGTTTCTGCCTTAAACGTTTTATCATCTTAGGCAGGACGCTGTATTCGAAGCTTCTGTTCAACACCTGATCGAAGAAAATTCCACTGCGCAGTATACCAGACGCCTATTTATAACTATGCCCTATCCTATTCCCTACCGCCGGGCTGTTTAATCTCGATACTTATAATAAAAGGGGTAAATTGGAGTCCGTAATAACCAGTGTGATTAACAGAATGGGTAGCCGTGGTGTCGATAAATGCATTTATAGCTGTGTCTAAGTCCGGATATTGGTTAAGTGTAGCGTAAATGCAGAGATTAATTATCCTAGCGAAAGACAAGCCCGGTGTATACGCCCGATGTGGTTGAGCTGTAGGATTATAAATTGAATGAATAAAAATACTTCCTGTATACTAGAAGTAAGAATAGTCTTACTAAGGTATAGTATTAAAATCGCTGCACTGTTCACCAAAGTCGTCCTTAAATATAAGTTGAAGCAGGGGCTAATAAACTATAGTATTCTAACTGGCCTCGTCAAGCTTGCCATTCTTACACTTAGTAGTTCTGGCCAAGATGATTTTAATTTGAACAATAGATAGGATACGGCCGGGTAGATGATCAGGCTTATTGGCAGACTTAAAAGAATACTACCATTGACTCTCAAAGTCATCCTGGGAGAGCCCTTGATCATCCCTGATAATATTTCTTAAGGCAGCTGGTAGAATATTCAGACCTCGTTCAATTTCTGCCATAGTAAGAAATAACGGCTTCGCGACTGCAGGTACTGAATCCTCGTTTAGTGATTTAGTTTCGACACCTGTGCCGCTCATTCGTAGTCTCATCATCTGTCCTTTTACCAATAATGATCTCGATAAGGAACTGGCTTCAGAACCCGAGATTAAAGCAGCAGAACTTAGGATGCTGCAAGCTCCTAGCCGGGGCGTTGCATCAGGATCAGGTAGTCCATCTTGGCTCTGCATTCGGCGTCTTTTCTGGGGCGTTGATGTTATGTTATTGTCGTCGCCCCCTGTATAACTAAGTGGAGGGCTGGCGAGACTATAATTTAATATAGTTTTGCGTTTTCTAGAAGCTGCCTGGCTGGGAAGACTGGGAGCTGGCTTGGGAAGAGACGTTGGATCAGATGCTGCCTCGAGATCGTTGATCTAATTGATAATTGAGTCCATCACCCATAGCGACTTGCGTAAATAAACTGAGGCAAAGAGCGGGAGGTATGTATGCCTTAAATAATCCGTGCGATAGTTGCAGGTAATGACGCGACGCTGCTGCTTTCGTCGTGGTGTTTGCGGAGAAGAGATTCTGGGCAGCGAATTGGCCTGCCGAATGCCCCGTAATCCTTCTTGCACCCTAAACGCGCGTTAGCGATGCATCTTAAACGCGAGGAGGATAAACGCGCCTGTGCGCGTGCTCTGAGGGATAAATTTCGGTTAAGATCTGAAAGCGGAGTTAGACTGCTAGCCTCAAAGAGCCAGAGATATAATGCAAAGGCGCTTTGTACCTGAATCCTACTACAGGTATAATCTAATTTACCATCAGCACTTCTAATCTCTAATATTTCTCGTAATTAACTAAATACTGTAAATGTACTATAAGCGAATTGCAGAGCATGTATACACTTGGATAGTCTTGGAAAATTAGAAGTGTCTTTATTATTATACATAGAATATTTCCATACTAAGTTCCCTCTTCAACAAGACCATAAGTTGATCTAACGCAGCGATCTCTTCTCTTGGTAGCATTCCTTTCTCTCCCTATCCCAAACTGACGTCCTAGTTGCCGTATTATACACCACGCGTGATTCCCACACTTTTTGGGTCCCCTTTGAGAACAATTAGGCAAAGTGCCCGGCGTATTAGATAACAAAGGTAACGAGGAGGACGACAGTACACATGCGACCAATTTGTAGATTCCGTCAAGGTACTTAAGACATTAGGGAAGTCACCCAGGGGGGAGGGGGGAGAGGGGGGCAAACACTAAGGAGGTAAACAGGGCGACTTCCTGGGAAGTCACCCCGGGGGGAGGGGGGGGGCGCAAATACTGACCCATGTATTTCAAGTCTGACGCAGCAAAGATTCTGGTGAGAGCTCAATTACTTATAGGCTATGTGTATAATCATACAGACTAGGGTAAGGTACTTCCTAAGAACGCTAAGCTCGTCGGCGGGTTGTCAGTACTCTTAATCTGCACCGTAGAGGTCCTGTATTCTTCTAACTAAGCTATACCTCAGTCCTAAGTCATAGACTTTGCTAGTGTATGATAAACGTATAGCCACATAAGTTATACTAAGCTCATCCAGCATAATTATATTAGGTCGCGAGAAATTGGAAAAGAATAAAGAAAGATGTTAGTTTAGATGGGAAGGGATGATATTTTATAGCCGAGATGTCTGCCTGTCTAACCTTAGGTACTCCTTCTCCTCCTACCTACTTCCCCCTCTCCCCCTATTTATCCAACCGCTGAATGACGTGTACATTTGGTCTCGACCCCAAGAATGCCTTATGGCAAAAATAGGAGGCGGCCTGATCTGCGACCAATGTAGGAATCAGCCTAGGGAAGCTGTAGATGAGACGACTCGAGTCTTACCAAACTCCATATATTATTAATAGAGAGAGTTAAGTTCTAGATTTCTTTTGGTAGATACCTACTCTAAGCCGTTAAAAGCTTCTGACAAGCTGACAATCTGAAGATGCAAAACTCTCTGTGTTCTGCTATGCTGATGATCTATGAAAGGGGGAAAAACAAGCTGCAAACAGCAGCAAACAGAAAGTGGGCTTGACCTGGGAGAGTGGTCACACAGATCCCCGTGACAACTCAACAGCTTCAACCTCAGCAGAATGTGAATTGGCATTTAGGTAAAGCTGTAACAAACCGGTCTATACTAAATAGTTTAGGGTAGCTTCTCAAGGTAATACACTGGTCGTAGTTTATATTGACAAAGCAGGTATAGTACTGTGGGCAATCTTATTACGTAGCTGGGAGGTTGAATGCAATGATCAATCTTGTTGCTATATTAACGAATGATTGTCTAAACTATGTAATAAATACAATTATCCTGTTCTTATATAGTGAATCGTTTCGTAGGGAATGGCATAGCGTGACGTTCCTGCATACACATGGAACGCTCGCTGGGTATCGCTCCTCTATTAGGACGACACAGCTCGGTATTCCTCTTACATTATAACAATGTAGCTTAATCGTTCCATTAATGATTGGCTGGGGCGGCCCGATAGTCAATCCGGTGCTTGCCTCAAAGTACATGAGAGGTTGGGTCGTGACAAAAGCTCGTGATTCTTTGTGAGAATAATATAAGAGCAGTGGGGTGGATGTAAGGGTAAGGGTGAATCTAATAGCTTAGTCAGTTATCCAATTAGATAATACCGATGTCGGGTAGCATACTGGCTTAGTTGGCTGAAAAAAGAAAACGGTGCCGTAGTTCCGTTTTTAATGATAGGCGGGGACTAAACGGTAAAATATTTTAGCGCGGGGTTGTTGGCTAACCACCAAAAACGGAATTTTGTAACTTCAGTTTTAGAGGCTTAGGATATCGAAAATAAAGGACATTCTACTCAAGGAAAGAGCTTGACGAGACCCCGAATTTTCCACTACCTATGGTCGTATGTGGAGGTTGAAGGACTCTATTCAACTTATATACTCGTACGGGTATCCCCTCTCCTGCAAACCCCTGTCCTAGGTCAACTCTGCCGTGTCTCAGCCGCTTCTATGTTCTGCTTCTATTGGTGTAGCTGTGCGAGATACCACTTTTTTTAAATTGCTTTGCAGGAGCTGCCTAGTATTAGCGCAAGCATGTAAGCAAGGCTGCATGGTGGCGTCTCTAGAGCCAACAACAAAAAAGCAGTACTGAAATTTTATAAAAGGGGCAAAGAAAACAAAAGAAAAAGGATGTTCTGAGGTACCTAGTTGTAGTAATAAATATCTCCTGCCGCCTTTGTGACCCTAATTATATAACTGGAGTCAGACAAGTTTTCTTTACCCTGTTTCGTCCAATACTGTTGTATGATGTCTCGTCCTACTCGCCGCAGCGACCCTACCAATATCCGCATAGCAACTCCATTGTTAAATAATATTACAAATAACGGGTTGGAGGGGGCCAAAGAAGCTTTCTGCTCCTTGACAATTTCTGAACGTAGTATACCGCAGCACTTGGATGAGCTATGGCAACAGCTGAGACGATTATATGAGGCTGAAAATACTCATAATGTCAAGCCGTTTCCATACTGGGCCCTCGAAAATCTTCCGCCCGACAAGATCACTGCTTTGATCAGGATGGCATACGTCGAAGACCTCGGGGCCATCAGTATGTATGCATCTAAAATGCCGCTAGATCTCAATACCGAAGCATGGAAATTTGTTCTGTTTTTCAACTATATCGGGCAGAGTAGTGCACGAACTTTAAGAAAAATTTCTATGCAACGTCCGACCATCACATTCGAGCAATTGTATCAAGAAGTTCGGCGCAATCGGCTCAATCGGCTCAGTGCCCCAAATGTTTCCAACAGGCGCCCAAAGAATCCTAGAGCTCAATTTCACACTTCGGATTATGAAGCCTGCTGTTCGTACACCTCATGCCGTTGTCAAATTTTCTCAAGCTTACATGAGTAGTGCAGGGAAGGAATGATGAAGGCGGTATTGATGAAGAGATTGAAGACGAGAGCGAGGGTGAGATCGAGACTGGAGATGAAGACAATGAGAACATTGGCCAAGACGAGAGTGAGATCGAGACCGAAGATGAAGACAACGAGAACATTGACCAAGAGCCTTATTTCCAACTCATCAATGAAAACATCAGTATGGGCCATCAAGAAGGCGACAGTATTGATGGTTACGATGTTGAGAATAGCCATGATCAGGGAGGTCATGTGACGGATCATCTTGATGGGATTAGCACACGAGATGAAGAGTACACGATTGTCAGAGATTATGCGGATGATACATCCGCATCTTCTCCTCAGCCAGACTTGCCCACACCAGAGACAAATTCTCCAATCGCTATCCCGGATGAATCAGAACCCAGGTCTCCAAGTATTGAGCCAAATACTGAGACAGATGGCCACACATTGATGAATCCTCCACAGGAGGAGGCACGAAGGCAAGATATGAATCAGAGGCCACCTTCATCCCCGGATTTATATTCTCTCGTTCGCACATTCGCCAGCGTAGGAAAGGATAACATCGACAAACGAAAGCAAAGAGTTCAGGACTCTGAAAAACGATTTGTATATGAGAAACAACAGCTTGACAACGAAGTAGAACGGGTTCGAAAGGCGGACTCGATTCTGGCCGGTCTTGCTGAGCTAGAAAAGGAAGATGCAGACAAAACAAAAAATATTAAAGAGATTAATGACAATCTTACCAATAGAAAAGCCGAATGGGATAATTCCCAACCTACTCCAACATCTATTGGAGACACATCTCTCGAAGAGTATATGTCTAGAGCAAAGTCATTCTTTTTGGGCGTGAAAGAAGGAAACACAAAGCGTCAGGCAGAGGAGAGTGGGCTTGTGGAAATTAAAAATAAGAGAGCAAAACTGAAGGCTGAGTTCAAAGAGCTCCAGGCTACTGCAGCAAACAGAGAGCCCTCTTTACCGATACGCTCTCTGGAATCATCTTAAGAAGCTTCACCTGGTTTGTTTTGTTTGTTTTATTATTAACGTCCACTAAGTAAGCTAGTTACATAAGTCCTCATCTGGGCACTAGGACGGTAGGAGCCGCCGAGTTCAGATCGGGCGTTCGCTACGTTTCAATGTGACAAAGGAAATGGGGAAGTATNAATCTGTTTTACGTGTCTGTTTCTGTAGGGGGGGGGCCGTATGGGCTTGTCTCCTCCACTAGTTTCTGGAAATCCTTGTACCCCCCGTCACCGAGGAGGTATTGGATATGGGTGGTTCCGAAGCGCGCTT